AGGCGACTTCCGGCTCCAGACAGGGTCCCCACGTCATAGACATGGCATGTTTACAGGGGAAAGCAATAAGGAAAAGTCAGGTCCGGGTGGGCTGACTGAAAAATAAAATGAAGAATGAGCATACAGAAAAAGGTAATAAAATAATAAAATAATAAAAAGGAAATTCACCTCGGCTATCAGATCAATCAGATAATACCTGTACCGTATCATATTACATAAGTGGAAACATTCGCATCTGATAACCCGTGACAGCTTCACATGATCTTTCTCTTTTCCCCCACTCTTTATTGTCTACACCTCCACTCTCTACTTCTACATCTATACTTTTATATCTGAATATACAATCATTACTTCTAGAGTTGTCTATACATGTACACCTCATCACCTAACCCCACTCTCCATCTCGAGATGGATCACTCTATAAACTCCCCCACTTTCCGAATCGCCGGGCATCATCCAGCAAGCCCCGTTGGCTACTAAGTCCCAAACCACCCACTAGCCCTATTCCCGCCCGATACAGGTACAGGTACTTTTGCCCGATCCCTCCACGCCAGTACGATCATTTCCCAACCACCGGGTCCAGAGTGGGTAACACAAGCCGTTCGATATCAATCAGTGGGGCGCATTGGATGTTCCGGCCTGTTCTAGAAAAAAGGATAGCCCGATCTTCGAAATCAGCCCCTGGGGCGCGTTTCCCAGACAGCTAGCCTCCCTCCTAGTCTCAGTCTCCCGTCCTCCTGGAATAGGGAGTCTTAGAGTCTTGGAGCCGTGGGGCGGCTGACTGCTTACTCTATTAACATTAACACATAGCTTGAAACACCCTTGAGCCTTGCTCGGAGGCTTTCTACAGGTAACATTCGGTGTGTCACTATACGCGTACATGTATGTGTGTGTGTATTGCGGCTTGGATTGATCCACTCTTGTCGCAGGTTGAGGATGCAAGGTTGTTTGTTTGGTTTCCCGTCTCAACGGTCCCATCTGATAACTTTGGCGGGGACTTGAGTTGAATATTGGGCATGAAAGTTTCCGAGACGTTTCTCAACCGAGTAACTATCAGCACAGGGGCTACTGTACATGCACTTGTCACGTCATATTGTGTCGGAGCTGGGACAACTACAGTGTGTATTTAGGAGTAAAACCTAGCGATGGTAACAATAATGATAATCTGAACATGATAATCTATATACATCTATACATCTCCTAAACCATCAACGTACAGTCCCCATGACAGGAGCATAAACCAAAATACATATACTTAACAGAAGAAAAAAAGAAAGCCCAGACCAAGCCCAAGCCCGCTGTAGCCGGGACCGCTTAAAGGTTTTCATCCCTCTTAACCAAAGCCACAGGCGGAATAAAATGATGTCTCCCCCTAGCCCAATAGTAAAGGGACGCCGATCCAATGATGCCAACATACATCGCCACGCTCCAGTTCATCGTCTCAACCGTCACATCAGTGGTCAAGGGAAAGAAAGAAAAAACAAACATCGGGCACAAAAACGCCAGGGCCCCAACATTGACCGCCAGACCGAATTTCCCCAGTGTCCAGCGGTGGTGTGGGAGTGACTCTCCGCGAATACGTTTGAGGAGTACGCAGCCAATAGAGACGATGTATGCTGAGAGCAGTGACGTTATAGTAAGTGATATAACGGCGTTGAGGGCGACTTGGGATCCGATGTTGATCATCGAGAGGAGGATCGTTACTACTAGTGACACCATGACCGAGTTGAGGGGGATGTTCCAGCCCGGTGTGACCTGATTGTTTGGTTGGCTTATTAATCTCTGTTCTTGTTTGTTGCACTATTGCGCTTTTGCACTGGGCTAACTTACATATGCGAAAAATGACGAAAAGGGTAGTCCCTCGTCGCGAGCGAACGACCACAGTTGTCGCGATGCGGTTGCCACTTCGGTGATTGTGCTGGCTGTTAGTGTTACAACTAACACGGCCGTCATCGCATTCGTAGCGGCTATACTACCGGTTGTGTTGTAGAAGATCTGAATGAATGGGAATCCGGTCGGGCTATCAAGGACTTTGTCGACTTCGCCTAGAGTAAAGCACAGCGTGACTAGCATGACGAAACCTAGCACCCCGTTAATGGCAACTGAGGACATCATAGCCTTGGGCAAAGTCTCTGATGCATCTTTGATTTCTTCGGCTGTCCAGTATCAGTGTCAGTAAGATACAACTTGTAAACAGAACCAACAGGTGAGCCTTACACATGTGCACGGCGCAGTCATAACCAAGCATCGACGTGATGGTAGTCGACAGGCCCACCAGTGTTGCCGTGCCCGAATTATCCCAGCCACCCCCGTTGTTGAACGTGGTGAAGACTGCGCGAACATTGTTCCGCGGTGCGAGAACCCACAGCGGGATGATGATAGCGAACAGGCCGACAACGTGGATAATCAAGATTAGTCCTTCCACGAAAGGTAGATTCTTGGCTAGGAATGTGTTGAATAGAATCGAGAATGTCGAGATAGCTATCACGAGCATTGTGCCATGCCATCTTTGGAAGTCATAGTCTGGCTGGTTCAAGACTATCAGACCTTGGATGATGGTGCCGGCGAGGTAGGCGATGGATACGATGGCACATTGCCATCCCATTGCAGAGAGCCAACCTGGGATACACTGTTAGCTAAAAGAGCTTCAGATAGATTGAGCTGTAGTACCTGTAATATAACTTAGGAACTTTTGTCCTCGTTTCGGTGCAAACTCGGAGACCCAGTGGTATTGTCCACCAGCAGTGGGTGCCCTAAAGGAGGTTGACATGTTGGCAAGGGAAATTCAACCAGCCAGGTCAAGGGGATGGACAACTTACATCGAGGCCATCTCAGCTATACTGGCATACACCAGTGAGAATCCAAGGGAGACACCAACAAACCCCCATATCAAACCCGCTGTACCGCCATCGGTCAAGCCAGCCGATAACAATCTATAAATGGAGTCAATATTTGCATGACCACATGGCACGGGTGGACATGAACGTACGTCAAGATCACCTCCCATGTGCAGATCAAGGTACATCCAAAACCAACAATGGAAACAAATCGAAAGTTTCTCTTGATAATGTCAGTAATGCTAAATCAGTAACTTGGAAAGGAAAGGTCTTACTCGTAAAACCTGTACTCGACCTAGAGCATTCATATCTCGCTGATCAGCCTTGGTGCCCATATACCGGGGCGCCACAAGGCCTTTCTGCGCATATTCTTCATCATTATCATTGTCGTAACCAGTCACCGCCTGCTGGGAGTCAGGCCTGGATCTGTTGAAAACAGTCATTTTGAACACAGCACCGATAAAACATCCAGTCCAGAGAACAAGACAAGACCGGATAGCGTCCCTCGCAGGAAAGGGAGATTTCCAGAATGAAAGAACAAAAGAACAACTAATATCTCCGCAGTCCTCAACTCAACGCCCGGAAGAATCAAGGATCAGAAGTATATAAGGCACCCGAACAGAATACCACCACAGATCCAAAAGGCAGGCGTAACCAAAAGGAGCAGGTATTAGGAGAGAGCCCAAAGCGTCGGGTTCATGACAGCCACTGCATTACAGGGTTTAGAGAGGAAGCGTGGTATTGGCGTGGGAGCAAGGCATGGCCTAGGAGGGATTCTCGCGCGCGAGAGAAACCATGTGGGAAAATCTGGACAGTAGACACGGCCAGTCCTGAGTGACACATCCTTTGTCTACAGTATCGAGCTGCGATTAGTCCAGCTAGGTGGTACTGCTAGATTCATTTTTTTTGGGCCGCTTGATGCTTATCCCTTGATGGTTCTGCCTGGAATGGGGCTATTGGGACCTTGCATCCCGAGGGACGTGCATTTGGTTTCGGACTTGATTTATTGGCTTGAGGTCCATATAATATTAGAGCCATCTCTTTTGTAATTCATGCTCTGTCCTATAATAGCCTCTTGTTTTGAAGATTGCTATCTAGACCGGGGATGCTCGAGTGTGATCGAACAAAACAAACCATTCGACCAGTCAATATCCACTGCCAGCACACAGCACTGCATTTCTGATGCATCGCGCCAGGCCAGCCTCTAATCTAGGGCGCAAATCCCTCCCTTGATGCTTATCCCCCAGATATTCCGCCACAAGCCACGCCCTAGACCAAGACTGTGGGTGTGCGGATATGCAACCCCTCGCTTTCTTCTGTTGAAAGCCACACAACCAACCTATCGGAGACCAGAAATTCAAATCCACGCCCCATTCCCCCAAGGGGCCTGCATGCTGATCTACAACCCTACCGCCCAACACGAAGCACTAACCGTCGATCATCGATAAGCGCCATGCTCTCGATGTGAGGGCGCAAGGCAATAATCATTGGATCCAGAGTGTGATCTCAGATTTTTCATATCATCTCAAAACTGGCGTCGTTGTGCTCCAATTAAAAACGAAAAAAGGGATAATTTGATCCAGATCCATACCTGCTACGCACCGCTGGTCTCAAGTCGACATTGCGCCCATCTTGCCTTATCATCCAGAAATATACTGAAGCCTGGAGACCACCCGTACACAAGCCTAGATCAGTTAGATCTTCGCCTGGATGGGCTATCGCCATATGGTCGCCCGACAGACTGTATCACAGCCCCATATCATACTAAATAAAGTAGGAGCTAGCAACACTAAATTGATTTGCTATGCTTATTGTCGCCTGCATACTCATACTCTTAATCGCCGCATGCCTCCACCGCAGTACATGTAAATGTAAAGTATACACCCGGAATCCCGAATCCCCAATCCCAATTCCAGTTTCAAAGTCGATCCCTTCTTTCTTTTCTCTTCTCATTCCACTATCTGGCCCACATGGGTCTCCGATCTGACGTCTGACGGTAAACCAGTTTATGTTTATACATGTGACTTCCATTCGTTTCATTTCACACACATCCTATATTCCCTCCACATGATTGGCACAAGCAGAAGGCATCCCTAGGTCCCATCGTCCCGGGTGTTCCTTCGCCTGCTCTGCTCTGCTCTTCCAGCTGCCCACCTCCCTGCCATGGGTGGCCCGTACGTGCCCTCCGGCCACTCGCCGCCCTTTGAGGTAGTCGATGAATTGCATCATGGCGCATGGTTGATTATCACCGCGGCGCTTGGACTGGTGATTTCTCTCGTTTGTTTTTTGATTCGGCTTTATGTGAGGCTTATGCTTATTCCGCCATTTGCGCGGGATGATTGGGTGTTGTTGGGTGCTACTGTAAGTTTTGAGGGATTTGGACTATCCCATGGTTTGATTGCTTGCGCTGTGGAAGCGATGCTGATTTCCTATGTTGGTTTTGATTAGGCTCTCGCAGTGGTGCAATCAAGTCTGGTATTCTATGCTTGTTCGCGTGGATTCGGGACATCGATTACTCTATTAATCGATGGTCGACTCAATCAGATCCAGGCAGTGAGTGCTCTTTCGTTCAAACGAGTATGTGGGGCCAAACTAAGCATTTAGTTAATTGCAACAAGCGATGTCTTCGCTCTGATCATTATCTACCTTTCCAAATGCTGCGTCGTGGCCATCTACCTCCGCCTCACGCCACAGAAGCCTCACAATCGAGCATCGTGGGCGACATTAGCTCTATGCACTGCATGGGTCATACCGGCTATATTCATAGTGCTGATCAACTGTGAATTGAATACACCTTGGCGAGGCGACGGTGGTCAATGCAAGAATCTGGTATATATAGACCTACCTACCTACCCAGGTATCCAATCCAACCAGCATCAAATACTAATACCTTGGTTGAAAACAGTTCAGAAGATGGCAATTCATCGCCACAGTCGACGTAATAACGGAACTACTCCTCTTCATACTAGCAATAGTCCTCCTAAAAGGCCTATTCATGTCCGTCCGACGCAAACTAGGAATCGGCTTCGCTTTTATATTCCGCTTTCCGTGAGTATCCATATCAATCCCTCGATCTAAACAACTCAGACTAATCTCGTTTTCAAAATCAAAATAGCCTTATAATATTCTCCCTAATCCACATCTTCTCCCTCAACGACGCCCTCAAAAATAAAGACACAACCCTCGCCTCTATCAGACCTGCTGTCTGGATGCAGGTCGAACTACACTACGCCCTAGTCGCATGCAGCGTCTTCTGTCTCAGACCGTTCATGGCAGCCGTTAGCACGAATTACGGTACGGCGGGTGACTCGACGTTGGAGAGTAGTGCGTCGAGATCAAGAGGAACGAAAGGGAGTTCTAAAGATGGGTCTGGATCTGGGACTGGGTCTGGTTCGAACTCGGCGTCAGCTACCAGGTCCAGATCGCATTCACGAGTTCAGCGCAAAAGAGCCGGGACTGCGTCGCGGTTTATGCCGCATCTGGGCGTGGATTTGAATCTGAAGACGAGTGGTTCTGGCCTTGGTTCTGGTTCTGGTTCTGGTTCTGGTTTGGGTATTCCCTCTTCGTCGAAGGATGTCCTCTGTCGCGATGGGAATCCACATGCACATGCACATGGATCGCCCAGAAAGAAACACCCCGTTATGAGTGGCGGATGTCCGAAACCAGGCTCTGCAACTGATACTTCACGCACACCAATCCGTCGATCTATGTTCCCCCTCAGTGCACCTCTTAACCAGAGTATCCCCAAGCCGGAGAAGGGGAAGAGGCATAACACGAGAAGTGGAGAGGGGAATGTCTTTCCAACGGACTCAGATTTGATTGAGCTTGTGCCGAGACCGCATGTTCGGCATGAGGGTCGTGGGGATGACCGAAGCGATGGCGAAGATCCGGATAGGATGGTTATTCATAAGGAGGTTCGGTATTCAATTCAATATGAAGATGATGAGGAGGTCGAGGCGAGGCAGTATGCGCAGGAGGTTTTAAGAAAGAATTGTGTTGATGTTTCTGCTTGTGTATAGTCTAGCATTGTATTTGGGATGTATTATTTGGATTAAATATATAATGCATAGATTAAGACTTCTTCTTGGCTTATTCTTTCGGGTTTATCCTGTAAAGTAGGCTGGTGCCATACTATATCTTGGCCTTAGATGAAATACAAATCCTGAATGCCCCATAACGCCGGTCCGCCCAATGGTTTGAGAATACGAAAAGCGTCAAGTATGAGAAGCGTTTGCCCGCTTGAAGGGATGCGCCTCGGTGCTCCTGTTGGAAACGATTAGCTCATTCTTACAAAAAGCAAAATATAACTTCTGCGCAGAGAAAAAGACATACAGAACATAATCATCCAGACTTATGTGATCTGGCTCCGAGAAGATGAGATAGAGATACTTCAAAGTCTCAGCCAACCAAAAGCTCTCCATCTTATCATTCTGTTTCGGTTTGCTCTCGCGCACATCATTGATAGAAGAATGACCAAAATTAGACCGAGTCGCCTTGTCAATGTTCTGGAACATGCGCCACGCAGTATCCAGAAGAGTCTTGTCTCCAGTAATCCGATACATGATGAAAACAGACTCGAGTGCCTCAGGTCTGAATATGAATGTCAGTGCGAAGATTTGGACAGAAATATGAAGACGACAATAAAACATACCGAAGGTTATACGATGCATCACGGATATCAGTAACACCGGGCGGCAGTCGATGAGCCTCGATCTGATCAGCGGCTCTCTCTCTGATTTCCTCGTTGTCGATAGATCGCGAAAGCACATCCTCATACCATTGCTCTTCATCCCAAGGGCAGTCATCGTGGTGTCGGCAGGGACTGACCTTGAACACCTCTGGCATGATGCCCGTTGGCATAACATCATACGCCCAGACGCAACCGTCCGTCAACCCCTTGGCGACATACATATCCTCAGGCCGGTTAAAAACCTTTGCTCCGATTGCCACAGTGCCGCCCATGAAACACTTGAGGTGGTCAGGCGAGTACTGGAAAGTCTTCGCGTTACCTCTCATGGCGATGATATTTGCAGCGAAGAGAATATGCTGATCCTCGTCTTTGGTCATTGCCCGGAAGAGCAGGTTCTCGTTGAATGTTTCGATGGCTTTTTCGTACATTCGGCGGTATTGGTCTGTCTGTGCTCCCAGTAAGATGTGTGCTTTAGGGAAGTACTCGTATGCGGAATCGGCACATCCGCCGATGGTGAATTCCGAGTCGTCGAATCCCATTTTGTCGGTGTTGATCCATGTTGGCCACATTCCGGGCAATCGGGTCTTGTCTTGTCCAATCTCGAGCTCGTTCATGATGCGCTGTACGGCGTCATAGTACTTGGGGTCTCCTGTCAATTGGGTTAGGCGGGTAAATTCCATTGTGAGGGAACCGATTTCCGCCAAACTGCTGCGAGGAGAAGGCTTGATTTCCTCTCCCTTGGCAGATCTGAGCACAGTTAATAAATGCCTTCTTTCATGTAGTGTGATCACCGAAGGATCACAGCGGGCTGGACTCGCCATGGGAATATCTTACTTCATCCACTCCCAGCGCATCTGGGGCATGCGATTATGCGTATCAAACGCATTGAAAATCATCTCACCCAGCTCCACGGCCTTTTTCAAGAGCACAGGATGCTTGCCATTCGTCAAATCGTGAGCAGCAATAAAGCCACCCATATACCGAATAATGATCTCGAAAACCGGGACTTGTTTACTAGCCGTAGTAGTAAAGTCGATTTCTTCCAGAGCCTCGAGAGCCAGCTCAAGCTCGTCATCCAGACCCATAATAATCAGCGCATCGAGGGAATCAACAAGTGTGGCGCCCCACCCATTAAAGGTATCCTGATACCCTCCGGTCCTGGGTTTCACTTCATCTCTCAGCCAGGCATATTCCTTATACCCATTCCAGGAATGCATGAATGCCTCCTTGATGGCCCTTTGCTTCTTGAGTCTTGATTTGCGCTCGCTGTTGGATTCTGGTGGGAAGTCATATTGGATGTGTGGGATGGAAGCTGGACTTGTTGGTAGCGGGATGAATTCTGTCACGGGGTAGTGCTCTGTGACTTTATTTAAGCGAATGGCATCTTTGCGGACAGTGGTGTCTTTTCTAGAGATCGGTTTTGGTAGACGGCGGTAATATGATGTAGAGGGTAGCCAGAAGAATAGGACATATGTCGCAGTAATTAGGAACAACGCTGTGGAAAAAGGTCGGGTTTTGCGCTTGTAATACATGGTGAATGAAAATGATGTAGGGAATGAAAATAAAGGAATGAAAAGAAACATGAAAGAGTGTGAGCGCGTTAATCAAGGTCGGCTGTAGCACATTCCACTACTGAGGGAATTCGTCCCCTGTACAGAGTAGATTGGGAGTCAAATGTAAACAGAGTGGGAGGACAGGAGACACTTTAAGGGTGACGCCATGTGGACGCACGTCACGGATTATGAGAGGTCTACATGTAGAAGGATAGACACGGCTGTGTAAGAGCTCCATTGATCGTCGGTGTTTTCGGAACTTTCATAGGCAAGATGTTGCATATACAAACAGTCATGATTGGCGGCGCATTAGAGAATGTAACCCCTTTGATTCAAAGGCAAGGGAGAAGTATCCTCAAACGCAGGTTTATTATTAGATGTCAAACTCGCCCGATCTCAGGTCTAGACTTGACAGCACTTTAAATCTGTGCTGGACTGTGCTAAGTTTTGATGCCTGCGACGCCACTGCTCCACTGCGGCCCCTGACCCCATCCATCGGGTAAGGGACTTTTTTGTTGATCATTCCGATTTCGAGGCTTGGTTTAGAAACATTCTCGTTGGCTGAAACATTAAATATATGAGTTTCACATATGATCTCAAGTCTAAGGAACGTGGATAAATTGACAGCATATCTTTTAGATCGTTCAATATCATAGACCTGAAAGATTTTAAGACCAAAGTGCTAGCTCTTTGTATATGACCAAGAGAAACTGGCCATCCTAAATCTGACTCCGATATATGACAAGCTCTTGAAAAATCTGGCTTACAAAACCAAACATAAGAAACAAGATGGAAGTGTAGTTGAAGGAAGCTCTCCCTCAGGCTGGGTTGCTATGTTTGCACTGTTTGCACCTCGATGTTTCTTCGGGGAGAGCTGGAGATCTTGAACCACTGGAGTTCTCTGTATAAACCAAGTCTATAATCGATTCAAGCACAGGTGAGTACCACACACCATATGATTTGCTTTCATACTGACCAGACTATAGACTGCAAAGCTCCTCAAATCGCATTTGTCTCTTTATCTGGACTTGGCCGGAGCAATCAATGGTCACATTCAGTCTATATTGACCATCACAACCTGACATCAACATATCTGCTCCCATAGCAGGACTAAAGGAGCTCGGAGACCCCTTAAAACCACCTTGGTCATCCTGGTCCTTGATATCACACGGTTTGACACCGACACCGCCGTGATTCTTTCTCCCTTCATCACCATTTATCTGCCAACTAAAGAAGACATCCAAAATGCCTATCACCGGGTAATCCCCCCACCCATTAAGACATAGATCCCTAGACTAACACCTCAAAGCGTCTACTTCATCCCCTCAATGCCAAATGCCTCAACGGCCCTACCAGCAGTAACAGAGCGTCTCCGCGCCGCCTTCACAGACGAAGAACTAACCCCAATCGGCCGCTGGGGCCTAGAACAAAAACTATTCCGCGATACACCGGGCCTCGTCCCAGCATCAGCAAATTCAAACAAAAAGCCCTCAAACCCGCGGTATATGCAATTCCTCTCACTAACCCACTACCCAACTCACGGCTTCATCTATACCTCCGAGCCAGCAGACCAGTCTGCAACTGCAACCGCCAATGCAACACCCGCCTCAGCACAGAGTCCAGCAGGCACACCAGCAACAGCCACCCCAAACCAAAGCCAAGCCCAAACCCAGACCCAAAATGGAATCACAAACCCAAACACAACACAAACACCCGACTCCCCCCAAATGATAATGACAACTGTCCCCTCATCCTCCTACACGTCCCTCTTCCAGCACTTCACCTACGCCTGCCAACCCTTCTGGTGCCACCGCCTGACAGTAACCGTCCCGAACGGGATAGTCTACGACGTAGGCGATTTCCGCGTGCGACTCGGCGACGTGCGGCAGACGTTCCCGACGGCGCGTGTGCGTGGGACTGTTGTTGAGATCGAATGGCGGGGTCCGTCTGTTGTTGAGTCTTTGCCTGTTAGCCAAGGCCAGGACGAGAATCACGGCGGTGGTGTTGGTGTTGATGATGGTTCTTCGCTGAATGATTCAGGTGTTGATTTCTCTTTTGATGCGATTGAGGAGTCGGATATTGAGGCGGAGTATTTGGCTACTGCGCAGCTTATTCGGGAGTTTTGGGGTAGGCTTGGGGTTGAGGCTAAGGAGGCTATTCTTGTCCCTGGGCTTGGGAAGGAGATTTTGGAGAGGTTGAGGAGGTTGAAGGGGGGTGAATTGTCGCGGAAGGAAGGTTTGTCTGGGTTTGGAATGGATGGGAGGATTGGTGAGGTTGTTGGTTCTGAGCGGTTTGAGGAGGATTTGGATCCTTCTGCTGGGACGGATGTTGCTAGGCAGTTTATGGAGGTTTTGCGGTTTAATCGGTAGATTGAATGTTGGAATGCAATATGTGCTTTGAATCTGGACTGGAATGGTCTACCAACAACTAGATATAAATGCACTCCAAGAACTGAGAGATGCCTGGCTACATATATACTATACCTTGGATATTGCTTTAGTTTTAGATAGACATGGAACAAGTAGAGAGAGAGAGAGAGAGCGATGATTCTTAATCTAGACACTATAGCTCAAAGCATCGCCCTGACTTCCGTCTGCAAAAGCACACGCTTGATCATGAATCGTCCAAGAAACTCAGTCTAACGAGAATAGACTACAGGAAACCGGTATTGGAAAATTGAGATGGGAAGATATAATCGAAGAGAAACATCGTTTGAAACCCGGACTTCAACTAGCATGGAAAAGGCACAAGGGAAATGCGTTATTTATTTTTGCATCATGAGCTGGACGAACTCGTTGTCTGTAAGAGGTCAAGGTTAGCATCTGGTGGGCAGTAACCGCTGGTAACTTCCAGGGTTGTCTCAACTGGTGAACATACAATCGATCCGGCCATCGCCATCCTGGTCCGCTTCGCGGATCATCTCGTCCACCTCGTCGTCAGTAAGCTTCTCACCGATGGAGGTCATGACGTGACGCAGCTCAGCGGCGGAGATGAAACCGTTGTTGTCGCGGTCGAATACCTTGAACGCTTCGCGAATCTCCTCCTCGGAATCTGTGTCCTTCATCTTACGGGCCATCATGGTCAAGAACTCTATCGGCGGGTCAATAGCCATCTCGTTTGGGGTCTAGGGGACACGGGAAAGTACCGGGGAAGTCAATGGTGCCGTTGTTGTCGGCGTCAACCTCGTTGATCATGTCCTGCAGCTCGGACTCGGAGGGGTTCTGGCCCAGAGAGCGCATGACGGTGCCAAGCTCCTTGGTGGTAATTTGTCCTGGAGGTGGAATTGGTCTTAGTATATTGTTTCTTTCAATTCGGGGACGGGAGACACTGCTGCCAGTTTAACTGGGTTGTCGGGCGAGGTCACACTTACCATCGCCATCCTTGTCCTATTTCGCAACAAAGCCGTCAGTATGTTGTCCAGCCTTCACACCTTCAATCCACGGGTGGAAACACTTACAAACAAGGAGAACGCCTCCTTGTACTCAGAGACTTGCTCTTCGGTCAGAGAATCGGCCTACGTGATGCGATGCGGCGTCAGCGAGGTTCCAACAGGCAGCATGCCCCGCAAGGTGGGGTGTTTATTTTTGAAGCAGGGCGATTTTAGGGACGAGAAAAGCCAGACATACCATGATGAAGATAGATAGCAAAAATGCAGAGAGAGGGAATTCGAGAAATGAGGGGTCAAACGGGGAAATGAAGAAGAGTTTAAGGGGGACAGCCTTACCAGACCAAAATAGCGTGCCTGAGGTGCCCAGTCAGCGTTGTTCACCCCAGGGCGGTGGGAACCTGACCCCCAGGGCTGAACTCAGCTGACGTTGCTTAGCTGTCAATGCTGTCTAGACTATCTCTAGTCTATTATTGTCTTAGTCTATTCTGTCATTATGGTCATTTATTATTTTGGACCTTGGAGGGCGGGTTCAAAGCTTGGTCTTGAGCTAGGTCTATATGTAGCTAGGTATGCCCCAAGCGTCTTCTACCGAAATAGTAATATCGACAGCGTGCATTATTAGCAGACTTTATTAGTTTATCTCTGACTGCGGGGCATATCAGGTGAATATATAGACATCTTATAAATAGAGACTATACAATAATCTATATACGAGCTTTAGATATTGGACTGTATGATTAAATATTTGCCCCATTACATACGTGGATACTAAAATCTGGGGCGTGCCACTAACACCGTGTACCTCATCATAGTTGAGTACACAACCACTGTACATAACAAGAGATAAGGGGTTTTACGACTGATATCCCGGTACATTTGAATAGAAGAAACAGTCGTTTCTCGTGCACCTGAGTCTGTACCAGATTACAGCGTCATACCAAAAATACAACTCTCTAGTATCGACAATACAAAATGTTACATAATTATTACCGGGCCTAACTTACAGCCTTTCAATGTTCCGACATCCTGCATGTGGAGAGCTCCTATCACCCCAGACGCACCCAGACACACCTTCAATCCCAGCGCAGACCATGATTTCTATAACAAACCAATAAACCCACCCAACCAGATCCCTGAAACACCCACACAATGTGGCGGGATCGCACCAACCTGTACGCAACCCCCCATACCCATACCCATACCCCATCCGGACCGCAGACGCAGACCAACCCGTCAGCGCAAGAGACAACCACAAAGCAACGAACCCAGACCACACAAAACTAAAACAAATACTGACACCTAACCCACACACACAGCTACCTCTCCTACCGCCAATCCCTAATCCACCACCCGGCCAAGAAACCCGCCTTCACCCCAACCAATGGCTTCGCCGACACACCCTCCAACCCCGAAGAAAACAGACGCCTAATCCCGGACACAGACGAAGATGGCGACATGGTAATCGAAATGGACCTCCTGCCACCGCGCTGGGTTGACGTGCAGGAAGAGGTCTCTGAGCTGTTAGCCGATATCGCCCAAAAATCATCCCAGCTGGATAAGCTGCACCAGAAACACCTGCTGCCGGGCTTTGGGGATGAGGATCTGCGGAGACAAGATGAGGGCGTTATCGAGCGCCTGACGCAGGATATCACCCGCGCGTTTCATGATTGCCAGCGCGCTATTCAGCGCATTGAGACTATGGTGCTGGATTCTAGGGCGCAGGGTAGTGTTAGCAGCGGGGAGGAGACTATGGCGAAGAATATTCAGATTTCGCTTGCGGCTAGGGTTCAGGAGGCTAGTGCGCGCTTTAGGAAGAAGCAAAGTACCTATCTGAGGAGTATGTTGTGCCTGATCCAATCCCCCAATCCCCCTCTGTGGTGCTTTTGATGGTGGGAGACAGGGCTAACCGTTGAACGTGTGATGAGCAGAATTACGAGACCTAGAGGGTATAGCGACGCCATTTGATGGCGCGCCCATGCAAGCTCAGAACCCATACACGGATCCGTCGATGATGGAGTCAGATGCGGATCGGTCCTTCTCGCAAACGATGTTGCAGCAGACCTCACAACGGAGTACGGGGACGAACGATGCCGCCATTGCACAGCGAGAGCGTGAGATCAACGATATCGCAAAGGGAATTATCGAGTTGTCGGATATCTTCCGCGAGCTGCAGAGCATGATCATCGATCAAGGGACCATGCTCGACCGTATAGATTACAACGTCGAGCGCATGGGCACTGAGGTTAGAGCCGCGGACAAGGAACTGAAAGTGGTATGTACATGTATTCCTTTCCTGTTGTTTCGTTCTATATACATGTACTCTTTTGGCTGTGACTAGAGACTGACTTACCTTCAGGCTACGGGCTACCAACGGCGAACTACCAAACGCAAGGTCATGATCTTGCTCCTGCTGCTTGTAGTAGGTATGATTATCGTTCTGGTGATAAAACCAAAGGGAGGCAGCTCTGCGCCACCACCGCCGCCTGAAGATGAATCCTCAAATAATATCCGTCGCTCTGTACTGGCTTCTGTGAACAGGGGGCGGGGACATCATTTGTCGACTCGATTTGCGCGAGATCGGTGGATGGATCCGGATATATTCCGATGATCTTGCAAATAGCATTGGTTAATAGTTAATGTAACCAAAGTGAGGATCATTTTGCACATAGATGTAGTGCCGTTGCGGCTTATAAGTTATTCCTTTTGGCTTATCATATCTATTATGAATCATGGGATTTCACTCAAGAGCGCCATCGAATAAATGTCGACTCATGAAACTGTCTTGGATTGAGCATTGCTTACGAGGACTATTTTAGAGTATCCTAGGAACAAGAGCGTTGGTTCTTCTTGCTCCTGGGAACGTCTCCAACTCTCCAACTTCACGAGGACTCCAGAAACCAAATATGTGTTTTAGATCATGGCTCCTTCATCCGTTTGGCGGTGGCTTCTTCGGTGAAATCTGGATAGTACTAGCGCTCTGGCCAGATCGGGTGGTAGTAGAACTTGTCCATGCCTAGTTCTTCGACATGGTTGTTGATCGAGGCGGATTCAGATGTGGATAGGGAACAGCACGGTGGATAACCGTATCTCACGTAGTAAACGAAGGGCAGGAGAAGAAAAAAAGGTAGTACATTATGGACAGCCACATTTTGGGTGGGGAGGGTTGGAGGGGAGCTCGAGACTCGGGGGAGCAAGTATAAGAGGTTCATACTAGCGCAAGAAAACCCTTTCTTCTAAATAAATCGGAAGCACTCAACGCGGGTGTAGTTGGTAACGCGGTAAATTAACGGTATTCCGTACAGGTAGAAGTGCATGTGCAGATATCCTGGTCAGATTCACATGTGCCTAAACTGGAGACTGGCATTTGAAAGAAGTCGACAGAAAAGGTTGTCCCATGCTTCGATTCTCGTACATGCATGGTATTCGAAATACAACCGTGGATGGAGCCGGGAAAGCGGACAAAAGAGGAAATACAGAAAGGATAAATCACATCAAAAGCAGCCAGTTAGAATTACCTAGAAAACAGTAAATTAAACTTCTACTTGCCCTGGCTGGCAAGCAACTCTGCAACATCAGCATCCAGATCACCACCTGCGAATTCCGAGTAGTCTTCCTCGCCGTGGGAGATCTTTCGTCGCTTTGCTTGTCCATTGGTAGCGAGATCGAAGTCATTGCCTTGGCCAAGGGAAAGTGTGGCTGAAGCTCCGTTGCCTGTTGGGGCAGCGTCGGGAGGAATTTCGAGATTGGCCCAGTCTGGGGTCTCTTCTTCGTCCGCGTCTTCGGTAAATGGCCCACGGCGGATCTGCTGCTTCTCGGGTTGCTGCTTCTCAGGCTGCGGGGACCCCACGGGGGTGATGGCTTCCACTGGGGGTGGAGTCAGAGCCTCGACCTCTGGACGGGCGACTGACTCGTCATGGCCGCCGTGTTCGCCAGGTGCGGCAGAACTATCTTCGCTTGAGATGCCGCGCATAATAGCATCCTCGACCTCGTGCTTCTTGATGTCGACCTGAGTCTTCTTTGCCGAGATATCTGTGCTAAGAATCTCCTCCTTTGCAAGTTCAGCGCGGTTAGTCTGGAGCATCTTCTCGAGTCCATCGATCAAGGCGCGGCGTGACTTGATAACCTCAGAGACTGAGCTCTCGGCATTGGCGAGAGTCTTCAAGAGGTGGCTAAGACGGGCAGCTTGGACAGGCGGAGTGGGCTGTGGGTTCTTGGGATCATGCAGTGTGTCGAACTCGGAAATGGCAGTTGTGGCAGACGAGTTCGAGCTCAGAGCGGCCTTGGAGAGAGCAACCTGCAATGGGACCAAAGGCTGAAGTTCAGATGGAGTGGAACCGGATGAATTGTCCTTGAAGAAAGAGCCTCCAAGGGTTTGCTTCTTGGTGGTAGAGCGAGTCTTGTCGATTTCTAAAGCATGATCAGTTCAATCTCCGCCGCATAGGCATTGGCAAGTGCTTCAACTTACCATTCACAGTAGCTTCCACCGCATCCAGAATCGGTCCCTCAAAGACATTGCGTTGTCTCCAGACCTCCACAACTCGGCGGATTCTTTGTTGGAAATCATTCGAGTTACCCTTGTAAGCCGTGGCTGTAGCTTCCACAACAATCTGATGTTCCGTTAGCGTGGTTCATGCAGCGCTCGTATAAAGACTGACCGGGGAAAAGGCAATAAGGAAATCATCCTTTCCACGCGCCTTGGATTGTTGGGCCACCTCTGTGAATCTGTTAGTGGACAGAGCGGGAGCTTGAGCGCGGGACGGCACCTACCATTCGCCAGGTAGATCAAGTTGAGACGTTTGGGAGGAGGGGATTCGCGGATTCTCTGAAGCCAAATTTGACCGGTTCGTTCGGCATGTCGTCTAATGCATTCTGTGTTAGCAAGTCTCCTTGATTAGGTGTCAGAAGCGGTGCTGAGTACCTGTGGAACATGACCCATTGCGCAACAGTAACGATGCTCTCCTGGGAGTCATTGAGAGCTGAGAGCTTTGCTTTGACTGCATCATCGGTATAGGCCATGATGGATACAATATGTCGGAACGCAGGGATACGAAAAGGAGCTTCGTAGGAATAAGTATCAGATTGTCGGAGTGGAAGTCGCAAGACCGTCTGGAGACTGGACTGAGAGGAGGTCGAGGAAATAGGCAGCCTTGACAATTGCGAGGTGAATTCGCATGTGATAACCAGAAAACCAAAAGACGTCAACAAAACGATTTTCTTTCTGGGCGAAGCTTTTCTTCTTCCGTCAAGTACGTGATCTCTTTAGCTTTCAATTGCTACAATGACACCCAGCATTCAGACCGCCCAGCCGGCAGAATCGGACGGGGCCTCGCCGCCCGTGTTGACACCCGTCGTGGCCACCTCAACCTCGCTGTTGATCGACCTTTCTGATTCTGACACCGACAAAGCTTTCACTACTCCTCCCAGTCATTTCATTCAAACTATAAAGATGGCTGACCGTTTCCCTTCTCTGGAGGACTTCTCTGAGGGTATGTAACCCACCTTACTCTCCTGCCGCTGCCGCATCGGAGCTAACATGACCCGCATTTAGGCCAGACCGAAGTGGCCGATGGCCAGCGCGCCTCCGAAGATGACTTCCTTGCCCGTGAGCGTGCTGCTCTCGGTCAAGATGCAGACCAATTCGCTACCCCTCAAGACCACGTTGGCGATGATGAGAACATCAACGCGGGGAACGACCTACTAGGCGGAGATGACGGTGAGCCCGTGGAGGAGATTGGTCAATTCGAGTCGTCTTTCCCCTCAATGGAGACTCAGGCACAGAACGAGGTATGGAACCGTCATTGGCTATCTCATGATAATATCACAGTTGCTGACCAGGGGTTCATCTATTCAGCGCGTTGCCCCTGGTGGTACCATTACTGGCTCCGGCTCTCCCTTCCCCCCTACTGGCTACCAGAGCACTCAGAATGATGAGGACGAGGGTCCGTTTGTCCGGTAAGTTTACTCTCAGAACCCGGATTCTCGGCGCATTCCATTTCCGAACCGCATTCGTTTCCTTTTGACTCGAAGCATCAAGCTAACTTGACATGTTTAATCTACAGTGAATGGCGTGAGAAGCGTGACGCCGAGATCGCCCGCCGTGAGGAGATCGCCGCCGAAAAGAAGGCCGAGAGAATCGCAAAGGCCAAAGAGGACATTGATGCTTTCTACCTTTCCTACAACAACAAGGCCGACAAGGGCCGCGCCCAGACCCGCACCGAAGCCGAGCAGTTCCTTGCCAACCGAGAGGATACCTCCGCCGGAGGCACAAGCTGGGAGCGCATTGCTAAGCTGGTTGATGTTTCGGGCAAGGGCTCCGCAGGCGGTGCCAGCGGCTCCGGAAAGGAGCGGTTCCGCGAGTTGTTGATCGAGCTCAAGAAGGATCAGGAAGCACCCGGAGCCAGTGGAATCTAGATGAGGCACTTTAATGCTTCAGGTTCCGGGGAGCGGGAGTCTGGGGTTGAAGGATGCGGTGACTATGAACTTGAGCTGGCCGCTGCGTCTCTTGTTCTTTTCTTTCTATTTTTACTCCGCGCAGCGAACCGTCCAGGGAGATCGATCTGTAATTTAGTCTCAAATCGATAGCATCGTTAATACCAAGGTTAATTTTTTCTCCAGTCAACTATCCCGGATTGGACTGTAGCATCTTATCATGTCGATCAGATCTGTATAGAACAGCTAAGTTAATACAGGCTGCAGATATTACGCTGGCGACTCTTCAAACATATGTTCATGCAATTACTTTTGGGATATCCTTAGTCAAGTTCGGTAACATCGCCACCAGGCTCGCCAACCTCCTCCTTGCCCTCTGCCTCCAACTGCTTCAGCTTCTTCTGGCCCTCTTCCGTTGTAGCATCGACAATGCCTTCCTCGAGGCTGAGCATACCGCCGTTGCCCAATTGCTCCACGACAACCTCCGCCTCCTCGACGGTCATCCTGCCGAGAACCTTGTTCACCTCATCCAGGGACTCGGTCTCCAGCGCCTTCTGCAAGTCCGCAGGGAAAGCGTCAAAGATTTTACGGACCTCGATCTCAGTAGGATCCTCGCTATTGGCAGCGGGGAGGTTGATAGTGATCTTGGTGTTGGGGTCAACGGCGTGTAGCTGGATTTGCTCTACACCAGCGGGGTCATTAGATGCCGAGTTCTCCTTGCTGAGTTCAGCAGCTCGAGACTTGATGCGGAAGTAGGTATCATTCACGTCATTGAGGAACAGGGTTGATGCGCGGTGGTCCTTGGTGGTGATACTGGAATATATGTTAGCTAGGTACCAGACAAGACTGAATCAGGTAACATACCGAGTGAAGAACAGCTGGATGCCGTCACGGCCAAGAGACCGGCAGTATTGCAAAAGCAAACCTTGGTGGACACATTGACGGGCATAGTCCTCGTCGCCCTTGAGCTGGCTATTAAATGCCTCAACAAGCAGACCATCTGTCTCCTTCTCGGCGACAATCTCCGGGTTGGCCGAGATGAACTGTAAGTAGGCCTTATAGTCACCAGTCTTGAGGTGAGCGAACTTCTTTGCTAGAGGGCTGATCTCGACATTGGCGGGGTCATCGTCCTCGCCCTCATCATCAGCCTTGGATGCGGAGCTCCCCGCACCCGGGTTCAGCAGCTCAACGGAGCTCTCCTTGTTCTTAGACGCAGCTTTCGCCTGCTGGGCCTTGGCGACGTGTGATTGGTTGAAGCCCTCATGCAACTGATCACTGGTGATCTTTGCGCCTTCTTCCTTCTCAAGCTGAGCGAGCTTTGCGAGTAATTCCTTTTGGAGTCCCTGGACCTTTTCCAAGTGTCCAGTCACACCCTTGATGTATGCCTTGAACAGGTTGTCGGGCTTAGACTCTTCAAAATCCTTCTTCACCTGATCTACCAAAGAACTCATCATCTGAGAGAACTTGGGCTGTTCCGGTTCGTGTGTATAGACCCCTTCTGGCGGGGTGGGAGCTTGGTCGTCGGCGGGGTTGCTCGCGAAGTCCATGATAGTTTGGAAAATGAACTCATCTGGGGAGGCGGATGAGTCCTCATGCTTCTTGAGAGTGTCCAAGAGCTTATCAATGCGCGACAAAAGCCCGTCGTTGATAATGCGCTCGTACTTCAGGGTCTTGATCTCATGGCGACGCTGCTCTCGTTGCTGGTGAATCTGGGCCTGTTTGGCGCGGATGAACGACTTCTTATCGACATTGGGATGGACCTCGATGTCCGAGTCGTCGGAAAGCTCCAGAGCGTCCCATTTGCTGTAGTCAAGAACCATGTTGGCTGACAGTGAACTTGTACAGTATGAGGTGGGGTAAGGTATCAGCAAAGGTGGAAGAGATCACGTCGTGAACGGGCGATGATTATAGGGTAGACCAGTAACAGAGAAGCTGGACAAGATGCTATTGAGGCGAACGACACAAGTTCAACTTGAATAAACAACACTTCTGGCGCCAAAATAAACGACGCATCGAAAGCTCTCGAACGGCTTCTATAGGCGGTAGTCTCGGGCAGAATCAGCCCCCGAAAACCGCTTGCCGATGGCCGCGGGCGTCGGAGCTCCAGATCTCATCACATCTCAACACCTCCGGCACTTTTCAAGGAGTGGTTGACTGCCATGTGACTTTTTTGACCTAAATATACCCAATCAGATATGCCATGTCTTGGTTTGTTTCCCTGACATCTTAATTCCGTTTCGAGCCTCATCCGACCCAACCCCGAGATGCGCGGTACCAGGTTCCCAGTGTCCTTGGCCCTGGGCGTCAGCCCACGGCAGACCTTGAGACCATACAGTTCCTTTACTCGCGATCTACTCCCCAAGACGACGTCGCCTTCAATAGCTACCGGCGATCGCAATTGGTTGAACCGACTCTACTCAACCGCATCGGGAGCCCTCCGCGACGGGTCTAGTCCGCTATTGCTTCAACATAACAACATCAAATATACCCCTGCAGCGTCTCGCATTGTCTCTCAGGCCCGCCTGTTTTCTTCCACCACGCACCTCCTCCAAGTGAAACCACCCGCGTCCACACCTCCCCAAGAGCGAGCCCAAAACCAAGCCACCCGGTCGACTCCGGAACCGGAAGAAGATGGAGAGGACAAAGGATTCGAGCTGTCTGAGCGAGCGGCAAAGGCAGCACAGGTCAACATGAGCGCCAGATTGGCTAAGGACGGGGCATCGGGCAAGCAGTCCGGATTCCAAGAAATCTGGCGACTCTTGAAGGTTGCACGTCCCGAATCCAAGGCCCTCGGCTTCGCTTTCTTCTTTCTTCTGATCTCCTCGTCCATCACCATGTCGATCCCATTCTCTATTGGTAAAATTATGGACACCGCGACCAAGAGCGTAGCAGAGGGAGGCGGTGAATTGTTTGGCTTGAGTCTCCCCATGTTCTACACTGCTCTCGGTGGTATCTTACTCGTGGGCGCTGGTGCCAACTATGGGCGTATCATTATCCTCCGAATTGTCGGTGAGCGCATTGTTGCCAGACTTCGTTCCAAGCTTTTCCGCCAAACCTTCATCCAGGATGCCGAGTTCTTCGATGCGAACCGAGTTGGTGACCTGATCTCGCGACTTAGTTCCGACACTATCATTGTTGGCAAGAGTATTACCCAGAACTTGTCGGATGGATTGCGTGCCGCTGTCAGCGGTGCTGCTGGTTTCGGTCTGATGGCTTATACCAGTTTGAAGCTGTCAAGTATTTTGGCTTTGTTGCTTCCTCCAATTGGTCTTGGTGCTCTTTTCTATGGTCGTGCTATCAGAAACCTTAGTCGCAAGATCCAAAAGAACTTGGGATCTTTGACCAAGATTGCCGAAGAGCGCCTGGGCAATGTGAAGACCAGTCAGTCGTTTGCCGGTGAAGTTCTGGAGGTCAACCGCTACAACAATCAAGTGCGGAAGATCTTCAATCTTGGAAAGCGAGAATCTTTGATCAGTGCAACCTTCTTCAGTTCGGTAAGTTTCCTGGGGTGATGGTGACCTGGTGAATTTAACTAACTCCTTATTAGACTGGCTTGATGGGAAATATGACCATTTTGTGTTTGCTCTATGTCGGCGGTGGAATGGTTCAATCCGGTGCTATCAGCATTGGAGAACTGACCTCGTTCCTCATGTACACGGCATATGCAGGATCTAGCATGTTTGGTCTGTCCAGCTTCTACTCGGAACTGATGAAGGGTGTGGGTGCGGCAAGCCGACTCTTCGAGCTACAGGATCGTCAACCTACAATTCACCCGACTAAGGGTCTCAAGGTTGAATCCGCTCGCGGCCCCATCCGTTTCGAAAATGTCACATTCAGTTATCCCACTCGTCCTGCTGTGACCATCTTCCAGGACCTGAACTTCGAGATCCCTCAAGGAACGAACGTGGCAATTGTCGGGCCTTCTGGTGGAGGTAAATCCACCATCGCGTCCATCTTGCTTCGGTTCTACAGCCCTACAGAAGGCCGGGTATTGATCAACGGCAAGGATATCAAGGGAATGAACGCCAAATCTCTGCGGAGAAAGATTGGAGTCGTTTCACAAGAACCCGTTCTTTTCTCCGGAACAATCGCCGACAACATCTCCTATGGTCTGCCCAACGCATCTAGATCGGAGATTATCGCTGCTGCGCGCAAAGCCAACTGTCAATTCATCAGTGACTTCGTAAGTTCCCTAGACAAGCTTCACTCATAACCCAAGCTAACAAAACCACAGCCTGATGGACTCGACACTCACGTCGGAGCCCGTGGAGCTCAATTATCCGGTGGCCAAAAGCAGCGCATAGCCATTGCGCGTGCTCTAATCAAGGAACCCGACATTTTGATCCTCGACGAAGCCACCTCCGCCCTGGACGCTGAATCCGAAACCCTCGTAAACAGCGCACTGGCCGCTCTCCTCCGCGGCAACAACACCACCATCAGCATCGCCCATCGCCTCTCCACAATCAAGCGTTCCGACACGATCATCGTCCTCGGCAACGACGGCAAGGTCGCCGAGCAAGGCTCATACGAGCAGCTCAGCTCCCACGATGGCGCTTTCTCCAAGCTTATGGAATGGCAAATGAGCGGCGGCGAAACAAAAACCCCTGCGCCAAAGCCCATTGAGGATGGCCGGCTCTGGGAGCTCGAGAAGGAGGCCGAGCCGGAGTTGGAGGAAGAGGAGGAAGTGGAAGAAGTGGAGGTTGATGAACATTCCTCTCGCAAAAAGGAGTAATCGCACTCCATACTTTTTTTCTATCATCACCCCGTGATGCGGCATCTCCACTTATTCTTGTTGAAAACGCTCTCTGCATTTATCCTCACCCCTTTTTGAGGTCTCTCTTCTTATGCACATTTTGCATCATGCCTTTTTTTTCTTTTCTTTTCTTGCGATAGATATTAAGTTAGCGGCAACGGTGTAAATCTTGGTATCAATATAATGTTGACTTTGAACGCAATGATTTGGCCTTTTTCTGTTCCTAGTTGTGAATTGGTATATGTGTGCGAATAAACGATTCAACAAGTCAACTGCATTGAATTCTCCGGACTACTGTCGGAGGCCTTTATATGCCCGAGATCTAGTCCTTGGCTAAGAGCTCTCGCACCTTGCTAACCTTGTCCTCAAAGGACTGCGTCTTATCAGTCCTATAGAAAAATTAGCAACCAAACTCGATATGGAGGGAATCCCACCCAGAAGAAACAAAAACATAGGAAACAGAGAATAAAAATACTGACCTCGATCCAACGCGAATATCAGACTGAATCCGAACAATCCCCTGCTGATGAAGGAGAGTATGCGCCTGCCCGATAACCTGATGAACCCGGTCCCAGGGTCCCTCTATTAAAAACAAGGTGATACAAAGTCAGCACTCAGCTCTCCAGAATAGCCACCTGTATCTGTACAAGTACGCGTACGCAAATAGCCGCGGGGTGTACCGAGGCCCTCCGGTTACGATTCCGGCTGGCTGTGCTTCTGGGGAGCATCTTTGATTTTCATCTCGACCTGCTGAATTGAGAAGTACTGTAGGTCCTCAAGATCTCCCCCCTTCCCCTTCCCCAGGAAGATTGCACCGTGGACCGGCTATGCAGATGCAGCTATGTAGATAGCTCTGTAAGGAGAGATCTCTTACCGATGGTTGTGCCAGCGGAATGCATGACATACTTCAAGCCGCATGTTTCGATCAACCGCTGGACGTCGGCGATCTGGGCTGAGACTGAGGGTGAGCCCGTGCCGATCTGGAGGCGTTAGTTTGGGGATTTTCTATTAGAGGGTTTTCCTTACCGGGATCAGACAGAAGTCGGCGACGCAGTGCGCCGGCGTGGGGATGGTGGTTGGTGTCGGGTCCATTGCGTTGTTGATGGGAAGATGAGGTGGGGTAGAAAGAGTAGAAGAGGTCTATGCGATGGGGCCAATTTTCGACCTTGGAGGTGTTTAAATCGTTCGTGTACGGTGGTGTGAGGTGTTTGCAGAATAGATTTGGGTCAAGGTGTGACTTGTGTCGGCAGGGCTGAACATCTCAGACCTCTTTTATCTCGATGCACACACCTCTCGAGCTGTGAGGTATCAGATTGCTGACCGCCATTACATCAGTGCCCGACTTCTTCTTTTCTTTGACTCTTTTACTTCTTCTCTTCTATTTTATTTTATATTATCACTGGATGATCGACTGCAGGGGTAACTGACTATCAGTAAGAACTAACCCCTGCACGTCATCCACTATCTTCGAAATATCGAGTACTGTAACTGTCGAGGATTTGCGAGTTCAGCCTCAACTTCTCCTTTCTTCTTTGCATCGTCCATTTCTCCGGGGATCGGCCCGGGCGGTCTGAGAGAGTTTTTTGTTCATAACCTCGGGCGTTCTGATCGACTTGCACTGTGTATCTGCCACAGATCGAGATCCGCCTTGTGTTTCATCTACCCACTAAACGCGGTCTAGCCCCTCTCAATCAGCTTAGCCTCCAGCCCTGCATGCACAAGCGATCCCCCAGAGAGCTTGTTTCGCGCCCCCGTTGCATCCCCGAAGCCTCGGGCAATTCCCGTTAAGATTCTCTCTCCGGCTGTCTCTAATTAGCCCCGTCATGACAGTGAACTCGCGGATCCCAACTGCCATCGCTCAAACGGATGACCAAGCCCAGTATCCTTGAACTCCCACCGGGAGTTCAGCTCATCTACCTCGCGGAGGGAGGAGCCAATGTGATCTACCGCTTCGCCACAGCGGGAACTACATTGAAAAAAGACCCGAAAAGGCCACTATCCGCGGTGATTGACCGACCAGACCAAACCAGCACCCTCCCAGCGCGCCTCAAAGGAAAATTACTCCGAATGCGCAAAGAAACAACAGCTGATATCTCCTACAAAGAGATCGTCCGCAATTTCGACACTATCATCCGACCGCTCTTCTCCCCGGAGGAATTAGTCGACCAAACCCTCGTCCAACTCCCGGACGGTCTCCTCGCCCGTTGCAACGAGCGTCTCCGCGCAGATGAAGTAGCCGGTTCGCGCCCGAAGAAGCGCCACGGAGGCTATCTCTGTCTGAGTGAACCGTTCGGTTTGCTCATTACTGATATGACGACTGAAGGTGAACCCGGCGCGACTTTGGCCGAACTCAAACCTAAATGGCTGAACCAATCGCCTTCTGCGCCGGCTGCGGCGCGTAGGTGTCGAACGTGTGCGCTGCGCGAGATGAAAAATCACGAGTCTTTACTTCTGGGACACAAAGAGCAGCGGTCGTTTTGTCCGCTGGATTTGGTGTCTGAGAAGTTTGAGAATGTATTGCGAGCTACCAGGTTGATTAAGGGTTGTAAGGATCGACCGCGGTTGGCTCGTATTTTGTATCGCAATTCAACGTTGCGGAGGTTGCAGTCGCTGCAGAAGATTGAGGGCGATGTTGGGCTGCAAGGGCCTGTGGCAAAGTCGAGGGAGATGTCGCTTGCTATGACCCTAAGGGACTGTACGATGTTCGTCAAAGTGAGTACCGCTTCCAACTACAAAACAGGATTTGAAACCATACTCCGATTTTTGATGCTCATATCCACTGATAGATACCCCATGATGAAAAGCGTCCTGTGGAAATCCGCCTCGGCGACCTCGATCTCAAGACTGGGGCCGGTGGAAAGGCTGGATATTGGCGATCTCTGGAGACCCAGTTGATCGATCAGGGCTGGTATCATGGATGCAATAGCAACCAGGATCCTAGTGAGTGTGCTTTGCTTGGTTCACAAAGACCTCCATATTCCCCTTCATCATGATACGTCTGTATCGCCTTTTATCATGTGACTTGTTCGGTTTGTATACTACGCTGGCTTTCACTATTGGTTTTGGTGGCGTTCTGACTCTCTGTTTTCTTTTCTTTTTTTGTGTGTGTTTTGTTCTGGACAACGGGCGGCTATTCTGATGTATACGTGTGCTTAATGATTGCGGATGTTTATGTATTACTTCTCTACCTAGGTACTTGATAATTATGCCACTTTTTGGCTTTCATCTTCCGGTTTATTGCTTTCTTGCCGCTTTTTTGTTTCTCCTTGGGTGAAGCTGGGCATGCTCTTGAGCACTCACTCCAACCTGAGTAACTTATTACCTGAGCAGACTGGTCCACCCAGGTACTCGCTGAAGGAATCTACTATGGCTTATGCGAGTTAATGTTAGCTCGATTTCAGAGGGATATCTATCGAAATCTTGTAATACACCTTCGAACTCAATAAGCCATTGTGGACGACGAGCGGTATCTATATATAATTCAGTGAGATCAGTGTTTAACAAACATCTTTCGCAAAGTGGGTTCGCCTCTCTCCGCATGAGCCTTGATATTACACGTTTTAGTAGAAAGACACACGGAATATACCTGGCGATCAGCTTCCGACTCTTGAGCTTAAGCAGCTCTCGTTTTTCTGGCGCATTAAGCTTCCTACGGGGCCTGCCAGTACCTATCTTATCCGAATAATTCAGAAGCGGCTATGATCTTGTCAAGTCTCAGGGGCTGCTGTCATCGACTTGAGACTCACGAGTAGGCGTATTGTCTGTTTTTACTTATATAGGTTCTACGCTGTAATCAAAGCTAGCCATCATATAACTATTTGCAACAATGAACCGTTGCAAAGAAGCTCAATTATCTACTATTCTATGTACCGAATGCATAGTCACAAGAACGAACCAAAATCGAAAGCTCAAGAAAGCAAGCACAACCCTTGAATACACCAGTCTATCCAAAGCAATTCGCACAATTCAACATCTTACACGTCACCGCAAGACCAAGACCGAGACCAACTTGAACCGCTCAACATCATATATAACACCTAATACAAAAGCTTTTCCAATTTAGCCAAAACCCCAGCACTAGAGCTAGGAACAGCAGACGGAGTTGGCAAAGTGGAAGAAGGAGTGAACGCAAACGGCGTACGCTTGGCCTTCTTCTTGAGAGTGGTAGGAGTCGACACGGCTCCGGAAATGGGCCAGCTAAACGCTGGAATAGACGGGGTCGGGGCCGGGGTGGATGCGGCTGGGATTGGGGCCGACAAGGCAACAGGGGGAGGGGTGGCACCCGGGCCAGTCATAGCCCCGAGGTTGAGTCCCTCCAGCTGTTTTCCAGGTGCTGCGCCGAGACCTCCACCGGGGATGTGGGCGAGGGTTGTGCCGGTGAGGGCTGTGAGAACGATGGTAGTGAGGGTGAACTTCATGTTGGTAGGGTTGTTTGAGTTGGTTTGAAATTGTTGGAAAGATGGCAGTGGAGTAGGCTTGGTAGTAGTTGGCTTGTGTGGAGGCTTGCTGGATGAGAGATAAGATACTGTTGACTTTGGCTAGGGGCGTGGACGAGGTATAAATATGCTCAAAGCGATAGATAAAGGGGAAAGGGGTGAGGCCTGTACTGTACATATCACATCATGTACAGTATAGGCCTCATGGGGGCTTATAAAAGGAGTCAGGATTCCCGGCGAAGATCGTCGCTCTGGCATATCTGCTGTATCAAGTCCACGGGGACCATCCTGCTCCTGCGATAGAGTGTAGACCCGGCTCGCGCGGCCAGACATTTATAGTTCCATGCATGTTCATGTACCTCGGGAGGGGCGGCCATGACTGCTGAAACGGTCTGCAGAGTCTGTAGCGTGAAGAATTGCTTTTTGCATATTCTGCTCTCTATTTTGGTCGATGGGGTTGTGTATATTGCATAGGGGAACGCAGATATTGATATGGAGCCAATCAATTGATGCGGATATTTAGTAAAACCTGTTTTCTTAAGCATGATAAACTGAGAAGATTGTTGTACGACAGTGAATAACTGCGGAGGTGTTCATTGCAACTGCATCAGTCCAGGGGTACAGAGTGTACAGTATAAGTTAGTGCAGATCGACCTGCATATCGACTTATCGACTCCACCTCGGGACTCGATAATAGACACCGCTCGACCTCCAACAACAAACATGGATCCCCAAGTCAGAGTCGGAGTTGGAGTCTTCGTACTCAACCCCAATGGCAAATTCGTTATCGGCAAGCGACAAGGAAGTGTTGGTGCCGGTATGTTTTATCCGAATCTCCTTAGCATTCCCGCCCCTCTTGCCTCCTGTATGCTGTAGTACTACACACGCTCCACCTTGTCGCTGCTAATTATGACACCTATTGGTCAATGCAGGCACATGGGCTCTACCAGGCGGTCATCTCGAATTCGGTGAATCATTCGAGACCTGCGCTGAGCGCGAAGTTCTCGAGGAAACCGGGCTGAAGATTTCTGATGTGCGGTTCCTGACCGCCGTGAATTCAGTCATGGGAGATGAGAATAAACATTACGTTACTATCTTCATGGGAGCTCATATCCATGAAAACGAGGAACCGAAGGTGAGTTTCAATAGAGGATTGCGTTTTGTGTTGCTGTCTTATTGCTTTTCCTTTGCTTTTTCCAATATACCGTATGCATGTGTGTTTTTGCTTTTTCGTGTGTATCTTGCGGCTTTGTTATATTATATTACTTATGCCGCATTAATCCTTAGATGGGATACAAGGCTTACGTTTACTTGTTTTCAAAGATTCTTGAGCCGGAAAAGTGTGAGGCCTGGGAATGGATTTCGTGGGATGAGATGAAGGCTGGTGTGGGCGGGGGGTGGAACTTATTTATGCCTCTTTCGGAATTGTTCAAGCAGCGTCCGGAGTTTCGGGTGTGACAACTTGGTATGAGACACAGTTACGGTGTTTTCTTTCTCCCGGTTAAAAAGGAGAGCATCCATGCCTCCTTCATATGATTTGGACGGAACACAAGCTGGAATAGACCAGCAAGATGATGAATGACACCCACTTTTAGAAGGACAAGTTCAAGTGAAGAAACATGATTTTGCAGTAGAAAAAGTTGACAAAGAGCTGCTGTGTACCTGCCAAGCCAAGAATAAGAGCTGGAATCATCTTGGCATTTGCTTGACACGCTTGGGTATGCTTAGGACAATCACTAACGTTACTTCGATCCAAACACCCAGTCCGATACAATGACTGCAATAGTCGCAACCTAAGAAGAAAGGTCAGTCTACAAATCTACAGAACAGGAAACATCCACACTCACCAACGAGATATCCACGCCAGGCATTACAATAACATCTAGCGCAGGCCGCCACCCCTGCCTAGAAATCAAAGCCAATTTCTCATTATGCTGAATACTCTCCTTAATCTCAGCAACCTTCCGATCCCCATCAACAACATCAAATGCCGCCAACGCATTCCCATGCCGTTCAACCCTTAAAGTAAGCATCTTCTCATCAACCCGCTTCCCCTCAAAGGCAGCAGCGTTCTCAAAACTGAGATTCAAATTCCCAGATGAACCGCCAAATCCACCCACGCGTGGCGTACCCGTTGCTATCGTCGCCGTGTCGCATCCGGGCAAACTGACCGACCAGGAGATCGTCCAGCCCCATTTCCGATGGAGCTCGAATAATGGGAGACCTGAGGCATCGCGGAATTCTCGACACGAGCGATCGCCGTATTTGCGACCGCTCACGGTGAACGTGGGTGTGCCGTCATCCTCGGTGATCTTATATGCAAATGCGGAGTGTGGGCTTCCGAATGGTTTGAGCACGAGGGCTGTTTTTGCCTCGGCGATGTATTGGTTTCGGAAGGCTATGTTGCGTTGGGGAGAGCGAAGGGTCTTGCGAGGTTTGGAAGAGGATGTGTGGAATAGTCTGGCGTCTGTGTAGGAGGTGTACGACATGGTGGGGGCTGGAATGGCTTCACTTGCGGCTTGTGAGGGGGGCTCTTGGATAAATAGCATTAATAGCTTGGGTTATTTGGGGTATTTGCCCGACACGGAGTACTCTTGCGGCATTTAGCCCGTCCAGTTGCCCGACGATCTCACTGCTGAGCCACAGCCAAGAGATTCTCTTCCTTGAAGCTGTTCTATACTTGGTCAGCGGGGTAGATAAGTGGCTTTGGTGGGTTTCATGAGACATTTTCATTCGTGTTACAAATACACGAGTCAGCCACTTCCCCTCACTTGCACAGAGAAAACAGAGGAGAAAAGGTGGTTTATATACATGTAAATGTAGTAGTTGCAGTTGCACTAGATGTCAACAACCTCGGGTCCCGGGGTACACCGAAGTCGCCTATATGAGCTGAGTCATGCCATTTCATTCCCACTTGGGATCTTCCGGCAACCACCAACTTGCATACACATTTTATGATCTGGTGAAACAATGGCAAACAAGTTTGCAGTAAAATCCCTGGACCACCTGGTCCTCACGGTCCGCTCCATCCCCAGGACGGTGGCCTGGTACACAACCTACCTCGGCATGCGGCATGAGATCTTTACATCACCCCTCAACCAAGCCGTTCAAAGGTATTATCTTCCAAATAGGGTGTCCTGTATCAATACTGACCAGAAAAGGCACGCTCTGATCTTCGGAAGCCAAAAGATAAACCTCCACCAATCAGGCAAGGAATTCGAGCCCAAGGCCCAGGAGGTCATGCCAGGAAGTGCCGATTTGTGCTTTTTGACTGATGAGAATGTCGAAACGGTCCTGGCTGCATTCGAGGAGGCAAGAATCGAGGTGCGTATTCTTGGTCTACCGTGCGGAGATAGGCGGATATTAATGTTTACAGATCCTGGAAGGTGCAAAGATTGTAGAAAGAACTGGGGCCGTTGGAAAGATCCGGAGTGTATATGTGAGAGATCCCGATGGGAATCTTATTGAGTAAGTTGAGTTATTTGCTGGATACAAAAGATTCAAATGCTAATTGGGCTTCTAGGGTGTCGAATTATGCTTAATTGATTGATATCGACAATTCAATATTTTGACGCCTTGGCCACCATCTCAAAACCATGAACGGACATGAGTTTATGAAGTATTAGCGTTGTATATTATAGCGAGAGTTCCCAGGCAAGAGCCCCCACCAGGACAAGAAGAACTGCATTCTGCTCAATGATCGAAGCGGCGCCTGTACTCGCTGACGCGGAAGCTGTCGTTTCCGTCACGGTGCCCTATCAAGTCCATGATTAGCCATTATATCCAATCGAGGCCCGAGAATAACATACCGTCGAAGTAGCAGTGGCAGAAGCAGTCTCAACTATAGCAGAAGACGTGCTGCCAGTAGCAGAACCAGTGGTTACAGTAGCAGTTGTGGAAGAAGCACTCGAAGTAGCGGAAGAAGAACTGGGAGTTGCATCATCGCTACATGTCTTCGCCGCTGACTTGACATCGTCTCCATAGTATTGCCAGATGTTATATGTGAGAGCACATTTCAAGCAAGAGCTGAGATCGGCCGTGAAGGTCGAGTTTGAGCAGTAATCTGTGGTTTGGGAGATGAGATTACTTCTCCTAGATTTCGAGTGAAATTGTTAGCTTGATACATTTTTTATGTTTGTAATAGGACTTACCGCATGCTTCGTGGCAATTGTATAATAGCGAACCTGGGGTGATATCCGCGCGCTTTGAGAGCAAATTCTGATGGGGAAGTTGGAGGGCGACAGTTGAAGAGATGAAGGCAGCGATAGAGGCTGTCAATGTAAGTGAGAGACGCATTGTAGAGGGAATAAGCTCTTTTAATGATAAGCAAGTAGAGTACAGTTGGTAATGGCAAGGTAATGAATGAAGCATCATAAAACTGCAGCAGGAAGAGTCTGTTCTATAGTCTCAGCTAAGTGAACGCAATAGAATGGTCTTCCGATGCCTTTCCACCCGGAGCCGGTCATCCTGTAGCCCGCCAATATTCTATTTAGATTAGTACACGCCAAGCTAACTGGCTAGCTAAGGTGGACCATTTTTCTTCCCACCCGAGTTGAGCGGATATCACACTGCAGTCAGCATGCGAGTCCGACAAATCAGTCAATTCCACGATAATTTGTCTCAGAGTAGCAAAGGAAGGCAAATTTCGGATAATTGACAAGCTAACGCAAACACCCTTTCAATATACCTAGAAAAGGAGGGAGCATGAATTTACCACAAGAGACACAATATTTAACAAGCCGCGGATCGATGCCAAAAATGACACCTCGAGAACAAAAAAGGAATTCTCATCCGTGTCGGACATGAAATCATTCCCGTTACCTCTAGACTTCGGAAATACCGACGTACAGCGAAGCGAAGAAAGAAAGAGGGTCCAATCACCCGGAGTTAATCTTATCAATCTAATCTCATCACCCCGGCACAAGCCCTTCCGGCCTTTGCCCTAAATCCCTGCAGAGAGTTGCATCGTAGAGTAAACCAAGTCTGGCTCTAGTTAGACACTTTGGTGCTACGACCAATAATACCCATAATTCCCTCCACTTCCATGTGGTGTTCACACCGTTCCGTCCGTTGGCATCTCAGTTTCTCACTTTCTGTGAACGGGATGGAGTGACGGCTACGCCAAGACAGTTCAATCACATGAAAGTTGCGGGCTTTGACTCTTTCCATTGGTATACTTCTTCCGAGAGATGCGTGCTTTGGGTTAGTAAAGTCCAATATACGTGGGATTCTGGTTCGACTCCACCACTCTCAGGCAAGTGTAGGTGCTACCTACGGACACGGTAATGATGCCGAGATGGCCTGTCTTTTCGGAGAAGTGAGGTCTCCGAGGAGAAGAAGTAGCTCGCGCGAATATATATGTCACTGTCAATCTCCTTCGACATTTCTCGTAAAGTTTATTTCAAAGATTTCAGACTTCACCAAAAGCAGACAACATGCAGCCTTATACAGCGCTACTGGCTCTTGCAAGTTTATATGCGCCTTATGTAAATGCCGCTGAAGCCACAGACATGGGCCCAGCTGCGTTTCTCTGGCCTCCTGATCGAGCATGGGGAGCAGCGCAAGACAACACTGCTCCCTGTGGCTCCTCTGCTGGAGTGACAAACCGGACAGAGTTTCCATTGAGTTAGTATCCATAATTCCCTCTTCGCACTATATAATCTATACTAATACCCCCAGCAAATGGCGAAGTATCCATAGTCCTTCAAGGCGAATCATACAATGTCAATCTAGCTATTTCCTACAGCAACAGTCAGTCCATACATCCCCTACTCCCAAACCTTTAAAAAGACTAACTTTTTTAACCCTAATGAGACCCAACCTCAAATACCGACTTCACAACCCTCGTCCCCTCAACCAACTTCCCAGACCTAAATCCAGGCCACGAATGCTACTCTGTCCCCAACCCACCCTCTAACATAACATCCGGCGCAAACGCAACACTCCAGCTCTCCTACCTCTCAACATTTGACACAGAGACAAATAGCACTTTCTATGCCTGCGCCGATATAACCTATGTCCCTCTTGCCTCGTTCACAACGAATGTTCTCTGTTTCAATGTTTCTGAGCCGACGACTACTGGTTCTAGTTCTACTATTTCTGCTACATCGACTAGTTCTTCAAATCCCTCTTCTTCGTCTTCTTCAAGTGGAGGTGGTGGGTTGTCTGGTGGTCAGATTGCGGGTATTGTTGTTGGCTGCGTGGCTGGAGCGGCTTTGGCCGCTGTTGCTTTGTTTGTTCTTTGGACTAGGTATCAGAGAAAGGTGCAGCGGGATAAGGTTGTTGCTGTTCGAATGAGTGATTGGGCTAATCAGCCTGGGAAGACGGTGTCAAATGGGTCGAATGAAGTCTGAATGTAAGATCAGATATGGCATGTGTTGAGGATGCAGAGATGACTGGGTACTATTTTGGCATACTTTACATCAGGGGGTCATAGGTGTTTATACAGTGCCACTGATGAAGTTTTGGACAGTACACGAAAGCCTCGAATGAGACTATACCGTTTCATACCTTGTTTCGCACTTTGGCCTCTCTTTTTTGCTTCTTTTCTTTTTTGCATATTTTCGAGTGCCTCGGCGTAATCATGTAGATTGTATAAAGGTGAGGATGTGAAAGGGCTTATGGCCTATGGCTGTATGTTTGCTCATGATGGATTTTACCTCGCGTTATACTGTTTCTATATAAAGAAAATGATATCATCGAAAACCCTGTTATCAAAATTGCGAGATTCATGCCCAATATTTCTGTACTAAGCAGTGGCACAAAGACATATAAAACAAGCAATAGAAGAGCTCAATTCTAGATCTAGTGACAGATCTAACTATGAAAAACAACCTGTGCCTGATTACATAGGCCACCATCGAATATCAATGACGACATCAACTGAAAACAATGAAAACAGGGGTAGGGCCACTGCCCTATCGCCTAAAGAGACCCGTATAAATTGTGAAATGTCTGCGAGAATAATCACTGCAACTCTGCTCTCTTTCTTGCAACCCCCTTGCAAGTCGCGCAAACCGCGCCCCAGCGCGCAATATGCACCCGTTTGACAGGATCTCCTTGGAAATCTCTTCAATGAAAACATGATCGCGAAAAAAAAAAAAGGGAAAAAGAAAAATGAAAATATTTTCAACCAAACATCAACTTGACCACTTACCCAAACAGACACAGAAATCTCAAAAGTTATGATTTTTTGGGGCTCAATATCGAAGGATGCCTTTTCCGTGATGGTTTCCGCGATGCCCCACCTCTCGCGGCTGTTTCAGGTATGCCATTCCTATTCTTTGTTACTTTTTTCTTTTTTTGTTTCTGTTTCTGGCATTGCGATGATGATGATCAATCATATCTTACCAATCCATGGTGAAATTTGATTCCTATATGTTTCAAGACGGGTCTCTGAGTCTGCCAAAATATCTTTTGTTATTGCTGTCAACATATTGTGACCAATGGCTAATTTGATTGAAGAATTTAGATGTTTGAAGTCAACACAAGCAAATCGTCGACCACTCGGGCATATTATCCACTAAGGGATGCATACAATTACGCGTGGCTCTGGGATCGGCAATCGCTCGAGTCGTTCCGTCGGCGATGTGCTTAGGCAGCCTTGTTGCAAGGTAATAGCCGACTTCGCCCAAACGATAAACGCGCCGGCAACTTGGCCCTTAACTCACAGAGTGACTCGCCTCGTACATACAACAAGCATTAGATACCCTCAATGAATTAAAATGATTTAAACTTTTATTCTTTATCCCAATTACATTTCCTATTCAGAGCCTGTCTCAACTAGGCCACAGATAAGTAGAACCCACTCAGTACAGGCAATAGGGATAAATGCCATTAAGGCCATTTCGCAGAAAAAGACCAATTGCCACTTCCGGTTAAGCTCTGACTCGTAAGCCAGAACATTTTCTGACAAATGGCGCGCAAACACCAATTAATCAGCCACGCAATATCCGATGTCCGAAACCCCGTAATTCCGCATCTCTTCGGCCCTAATGCCCCTGTAGCTATCTATAAAACATGGAACATCCCCGTCTGACATCTGCCATTCTGACCTCTACCCCAAATCGACTACTATACATAACCAACATATAAGATGGCAACCCACCTCACCAAATCAACCCTTCACTCTATAACCCGCACAGCCCTGAACAGCACCAGATCCAGAGCAAGCGCAGGAACCCTCCGACAAATCCAATCCAAAAGACGATTCACAAGCACACCTCTCACCAAATCCCCAGAAAGGATGTCCACTTCATCCCTAATCTCCCTAGCCCAGAACAGGCGCACGATCTACAAACTAGGCAAAGCCAGCCCAGTCCAAGACGTAGACCCCAAGATCGAAGAATTGGTCAATGAAGCCATCCTCCACGTCCCCAGTTCTTTCAACACCCAGTCTACACGGCTAGTCGTCCTCCTGCACGGTGAGCATGACAAACTGTGGGATATTGCCATTGAGGCCTTTGGCGGGCTTGTTAAGTCTGGGAAGGTTTCTCAGGAGATGTGGGAGAATCAGACTTTGCCTAAACTGAAGGGGTTCCAGGCTGCTTATGGCACGGTATGTTCATGTTTTATAGCTTATGTTTTGCTTTTGTTTTCGTCTGTGGTAATTGATTTGTCTAATTTATATGCCGTTTATTTATAGGTCCTTTTCTTCGAAGATCCAGCCCATATCAAACCCTTCCAAGAGAAATTCCCTCCCTTCAAGGATTATTTTGCGCCGTGGGCTGAGCATTCTAATGCTATGCATCAGTATTTCCGTATGTATCCTCTCCTCTTTCTTCCTTCCTGGTTTCCTTTATTCAAGTAAGTCGTGCAATGCTAACAATATCATCAGTCTGGACCGGTCTCGAAGCCCTAGGCTTCGGCGCAAACTTGCAACACTATAACCCTCTTATCGATGCAGGTGTGGCCAAGCAGTGGAATCTGCCTAGTGAGTGGCGGCTTGTTGCGCAGATGGTTTTTGGGAGTCCTGAGGCTGGCCCTGGGGAGAAGGTGCAGAAGCCTGTTGAGGACAGGGTTAAGATTTTTGGGAAGTTGTAGATTTTTGCATGGTAGAGATGGGGATTATAGATAGAGATAGAGTTATACATATTGACTAGATTGGCTACTTGATGAGTTTCCACTTTGTTGAGTACGATTGTGTGCTGGGTCAGTTTTCTGTCCCTGTCTTATGTATTGGCCAACGGGAGAAGTAGACTCGTTCCTTTGTGTTTATTGGCTAGTATCATAACTTGTTCTTGAAACCATAAAGATATTCTTGGACACGAGACTCATGTTACTCATAGTGGCTTGAAGAAAGAGCGAAAGAATCGAAAACCAGACCAGGCTGTGCGATACATGAAATCCTTGGGGTCTGCCACGCCCTTGTAATCAGCGAAAGTGAATGCAGACTGCACTGCCCGCAGAGCGTCATGAAGAATGAAGTATAAGATATACATAACAGAACAAAGTCTGTCCAACAAAACCGTTGAAATATAGTCATCGAACTAAAAAAACAACAAACCGAAAGACACGAACACTCCTCCCTCCAGCCATCTACCTCCCCAAACGATACCACAACTCAGGCGGATCCCCAAGACACTCACCAATAGTAACAGCTAAAAGTCACAAAGGTCAGTTCAACCCGCACCCCACAGAAGAAAGAAGAAAGGAGAAACTCACGACTCAACCCCCTCCTCTCAACCTCCTCAAGAATATTATCCACAAGAACAGCAACAGTATTCTCATGCGAATCATGCGCAAGCACAACATTCCCCCCAGCATCAAGCTCAAACTTGAACTTCTCAAAACTGCGCCAGCTCATCCCAGGATCATCATTCTCATAATCCTTCGTATCAATGCTAGCGCCGATAACATGATACCCGAGATCGGCCATCGCCTGCAGCACGACTGCGTTCATGTACAGGTATGGAGCGCGCATGTAGGTGGGGATGAAACCAAGGATTTGCAGGAATGCTTCTTCCAGGGCTGTCATTTGGCGAACAATGTCCGCGTAGGGGAGTGTATCCAGTGGGAGGTGGTTCCAGCTGGAAGGTTGGTTAGGTTTGGATTTTAGGATGAGGTATATTGACTCTGAGACAGGAGAATGTATGCAATGGCAAACAAGTTGAGCACTGGAAAAGAAAGTGTGAAGGAAGTATAGAACTCACGTATGAGACCCCAACTGATGCCCCTCGGAAACAATCCGCTGAACCAACTCCGGAAACGCATAGATATAGCCCTTATTCTGGCCGTTCAGAAAAAAAGTAGCGCGGGCACCGTGGATGGCGAGCGTATCCAGCATCTGGGATGTGTAGATGAATGGGCCGTCGTCGAAGGTTAGGGCGATTGTGCCCGGGACCGTGCAGTGGGTGATTGAGACGCCGAAGGGGAGGGAGGATAGGTGCAGTTGATCATTTGTTGTTTTGATTTGGGGGAGATGAAGAGGGGAAGGGAGGGGGATGATGGCTCTGGTGCTGTTGGTACTGATGTTGAAGGTGGGTGTTGTATCTGCGTTTTGGATTGGGGAGGCGTGAGATAGAGCTGCCAGGGCGGCCCATAGAATCTGTTGGGCATGCATTGCTAATGAGTAGGTAAGGATGCTGTGAGATGCGAAGTGGAAGATGGTGAGAGTGTGGGATGTTGTGAGGCAGGAAGTATAGCTTCGTTACTTCCGAGGGTGAACAGGATAAGAATTGCATTGAATAAGATTAAACACGTTGGTCTTGAGACCACCACTTCCAACATATATGAATACATCTGGGTTTAAAGGTATATCAAAATCGCAGGATAAAACATTCCACTCGCTCTTCATTCAAGGACCGAAGCGAAAGCGAGAAGACAGAAGAAGAATCCGCCAACAGACAACTGATTTAGCCCTTACGAGTGCTCTTCTTCATGGAGCGTCTCTGTCCCTTCTGAGCCTCACGGTCCAGGAACTTGCGTTGCTCGTCAGCGCTCAAGCCACGCAGGATACGCTCACGCTCTTCCTTCTTGACCTTCTCGGCGGCGATGCGGCGCTCCTCGGCCTTCTCATCTTCCTCAACACGGCGCAGCTTCTTGATCTCCTCCTCACGAACGTTGCGAATCTTGCGCATCACCTCAGTACGGAAGTGGGCGGAGGCAACAAGCTTATCAGCTAAGCGAAGGAACTGGTTGAATAGAGGGAGGGTGGTGGAGTAGCCGGAGGCGGAGGAGGCGAGATTAGCGGAGAGCTGAATGCGCTTCTTGGGAACGGTCTCCTCGATCCTGATAGATACGTTTAGATACTGGTACAATAGTGTTCAGCGTGGGACTTACTTCATGGGCTTGTCAATAGGCTGGTCAGTCACGATCAGGAACTCAAAGTCATTACCAGCCTGTTCAATAGCCTGGATCAACTCCGGGGTGAGGAGAGTGTCGCTGATCTCAGCATTCTCGGACATGACGGTAACCCACGAGGGGAGCTTGGGGTTATCCTTGGAGAAGGTGATGGAGGCATCGTAACGGTCATTGCGGAACTTGCGCATGTGGCTCTTGTGAACAACAGCCCAGATAAAGCCATCGTAGGTTGAGCTAGGCACCTTGACAGGAGTAGACTCCTTGTTAAGCACGGGAACCAGGTCCTTCTCCTTGCCATCGAAAGCATACAGCAGAGCCTCGTATTTCTCAACGGGGGGCTCCCAGCTCTCGAAGAAGAAGCTGAAGACATACTCCATAAGGTAGGTGATCGGGTTGTAACGCTTAGGCATCTTGAGGTTGACATCGAGGAAGGCCACGTTCTGACGACCGGTGGCATACGCGGCGAACTCGCAGGCCGACTTCTCCTTCAGCAGCGACTCAGGGTTGGTCAACTCCACGGTAACATTCTCGTCATCCACAGGGGCCTGTCGGGCGATGCCATCGAAGCCGACAACGGCAAACTCCTTCTGAAGGGCAGGGCCGTGGGCCTGGGCCCACGCCTTGGCCTTGCTGCGGTTCTTGCGCGCGCCCCAGAGATGGAAGAGGACGATCAAGAGGATGACCGGCATGATCATGCCCTCCTGCTTGAAGTCGCTCAGAGATGTCCGCTCCCACACACGGTACCATGCTGTGTAGGGAACATCGGCGCCCAGGGTGTTGGCTGCTGGCACGGTGGTCGTATCGGCGAGGAGGGACGCAGGTGACGGGTTCGGAGCTTCCACGAAGTCGGCGAAATCTAGATCGTTAGCGCGAGCAATTGAGCAGAGCTTTGTGACATACCATCATCAGGTTTGGCTCCAGCGGAGCCAAACACGTTCTTGAACATGCCCGCCATTGTTGATGATGGAAGGGAAAGGAGTGGGAAGGAATCGAAGAGGTCCCAGTGCGGAGCTAAGTTCCTCCCGGGTCTAGCGCGAACGTCTCCAGCTTTTTTACCCGCTCTACGGAGAACTGGACTTCGGCCATTTTGGACACTTTATAAGACAAATGAAATTCATATAATCCTCTAACCAAATCCATTTCAAAATGCTCAGTGAGTGTGGTATCCTGTAAAAAAAAAGCAGCCCACGAAAAACGCCCAAAGCTGCTCGATGACAGAACCCAATTTTGTACAATCCCGCTCCAAAAGAAAAGAAACAGAGCCGAAACGGAAGACAAGGAGAAACCAAGAATTAAAAACAATCATCAAGGTCATAAATGCTCGAGACTCGCTCGAGTGCAGAATGTAAGATGGCCACTCAATGGCCATAAGCAGGCGGAGGGGTATCCTCATGTTGACGGCTCCAGAATCCGCTGCATGCGCTGGTCATTAACTTATCCTCGCGCATACGACGAGCAATTTCACCAGCAAGCCTCTCAACCAGTACGGAGTCGACACTGTCATTAGACTTCTCCTCCTTGGTGAACGGGAGAACAGTGGCGGGCAGTGGCGGGCGCGCACTAGATGAAGGGCCCGCATCAGCCTTCTCTTGAGGGTAGCCACCGCGAACGGTGGCACGGGGGGTGGCATCTACGTCCTCTTTCGATCCACGAATGGTCTCCAGAGAGTACGAGAGGTCACCGTCCCGACGCTGTGTCGGGCGGGAGAGACTGGCCCTGTGGCGTTCGGGAATCATGGGCAAGTGAGAGTCAGGTTCGGGGGCCAATGGTGGGGTCACAGGGTCGTCCGACTGCTCGTTCACAATAGGCAGAGGCGCCGAGGCGATAGACGGGGGTCGGGATGATTCGGTCACAACGCTCTCGTCGCTTACGCTCATGGCGTCGTCGGTGGTCTTGGGACGACGCAGATCCACAACGCGCTTCTTGCGTCGCCGGGAGTGCGCTTTAGAGTGACGACCAGCGCCTAGACTCAGGCCGTAGGTGCTGACCGTATGACTAGACATAGAGGGTCGACTTTGCATGGAAACGGTACTGGCAGTTTCATGAAGCGAGGACATGCTGCCGATTTGAGAATGGGTTCGCGAAAGAGTCGGGCTCAGTGGTGAAATAACACTCGAAGGGAAATCGCATGTCTCAGAGGGAGAAGTCCAGGCGCGATATACCACTTCCTGGATGGAAGGCGTGAACAACGATAGGGTCCGTTGCGAGTCCGTAAGAGCGGCCAAGCGAAGGAGGTTCTTCTGTGAGAAAAGGGAATGGGTCTCGACCGATGAATCCAAAGATAGTGACGCGATCTCAGACTCGTTCAAGGCGTTCCCGTGGGAATCGACGGGATCCTGAGGCGGGCTGGCCAATGGATCTTGGCCGGGGCCTTCAGTTGTCGCTTGGTCGGTGTTATCAGCTTGGCCGTTCATTTCCTCCCCGGTGCGGTATTCTGGAACCCATAATCGTAATGAGAGTCGATGGATAATGGCTGGGAGTTCGTCCATGAACAATATCCGGAGCTGGGCCTCAATTTCTTTCTGTAGGAAGTCGCGCACAAAGGGTATTGAATCGAACGTTGATGATACTTTAAGCGATTCGAGCGGATCATTGCGAAACACGACGGTGATTCCTTTTTGCTTCGAAAAGACGAGTATCACGAATCCGGAGAGTTTAAAGTCGGAGAGAGTGATTTGTAGAGGTATCGTGAGCGGGGTACTATTTCGCGACAGGGTCAGCTAAAACTTGGAATATGTCGCGCGTATATGCGATATCTACTTACGCAGCAGCGAGAGGTACTGGTGACGCGAAAGTCGGTCGTGTGAGGAGAAAAGTGTTAAGCGGGTTTGCTTGGACGCGGGTCTTTAGTGTGAGAAAAGCGTCGCCAGTATAGGACATCTTAAAGATGCCGCGAAAGCGATCTTCGGCCAAGTCTCCGATCTCTAGAATCTCCAGTTCCGGTGGGATAGAGCCCAGGTTCAACTCGGTGACATGAATATCGTCGACGATGATCGGGGGTTTGGGCGATTTATTGAGAGCTGCAGTGAGCAGATCTTGGGCGCGAGTATAAAAACTCGCGTCCGCCATCAAAGGCGACCAGTTGAAGTTGAATGCCATGCCCGAGCATTGAGCATTAGGTGAATAAGGTAAAAAGTAGAGATAGAGTACAATAGAGAGAGAGGCGTCGAAAGGAGGCGATCAGCAGGAAGAAAAACTGGATTGTTCCCGAGGCGCTCGCTCCGATCACGCGCGACAGTCAAGTCTTCCAATCTCACTTTTTGATCGGTTTTATATGCGGTTTAATTACAGATATTGTTATTTAGTGCCTCTTTCTTTCTTTTCTATTTCTCTATCTACATATTCCTCTCTTTCACTCACTTTTGTCGCATTCAAATTCACAGGTACGTCACAGTGTGTCCTGCATGGACCTCCACCACTTCCGGTCAGCCCCGGCCTGAAGCCCACAGTGGGTGACATTGGGCCATTCACGGGCATGGGATAGCGGGTGTTGCATGTACCTAGCCCTTGGTCTGCCGGACTATTTTGGACTATGAAAATCTGGAGAAAGGGGCGCCAGAATCATTCTATTCGAGACATCTCGGGCCAGAATCAGCTATTATAGCGCAGATCACGGCATATGTGCAGTCCAGCCCACGTTCGACTCTTATGTGAGGAGGACATTTCAATATCATTGCGACAACCACATGGAAATAAGACATTGCTTGCACAGGGAGAATACAGTAGTGGTAGAAATACCATAAACAGTAGACCACAAATGACCCCTATGGCCTCGTTACTTGTTTGGGTTATTGTTCTACTCCTTCCCCTGAATGCCCGAATATCTGTTTCAATTGCATGTAACTGTCGCATGGTTCTCGTGGTGTTCCCTGCATTTGCAGCTCCGAGTACAAGGCACGTGACCCCATAGATCAGCTTTTGCCTGAGCAACCCCACGCTAGCCGGATTAGGACAAAAATCAATACTGAGCTCGCGGCGGTCAAATTCCTGTCTGGCACTTCCCACTGCACGACATTTCCACTTCCCAGCTGTAGCGGCACCGACACCAAACTAATATATTGGGTGCATATCACCACTCCGAAGAAACCAATCAAATCAGCCAGGTCAACCTCCCGTTTGGAGGTCACGCGACAATGGAATCCCGATCCAAGGCCAAGTCAGTCGCCCAGCGACGAGTCTATGGCAAACGGAGAGCCAATGCGCCGAGAGCAGTATTCGACCAGGCTAGCCCAGATAGAGACGCAACATCCAAGAGAATTCAAAATGTCGATCCAGTCGAATGCCTAGAAACGAAACTGGCTCGAGTGACCATCGATGAAGACATGGCCCCCCAACACGACGAAGAGACCGGATCTCAAAAGACGGAGGAAACTGAGGAACAGTATCAATTGGTCGATACCTCCTCAGAACAATCGAGTCCTTATCCTAAAGCGGAGTCTCCAGACACCTCGATAACACCATCTGTCGAATCCACCCCAGAGCAACCGGAAACGAAGCAGTTCGAAACGATGGTAGAGGTCAGGATATGCGAAACCAACACAGCTGATTCATCGGATGCCACGTCAAAGTCCACCGCCCCCATGCCCGACACCACGCCAGAGTCCACTGGCGAGGACCAAGAAAAGAGAAACACCTCGGAAAAGAAAGCCCCACGAAAGAAAACCCCTGCCTCTCGGCGGTCGTCAGGGATTATTCATGACAACAAATTCAATGAATATGTCCGCCCAATTCTCAACGAAGCACTAGCTCCAATTGCTGCGCAAAGTATCCAAAAATTCAGCTCATGGGCCTCTCGATCCGCAAATATGTTCGACGTGGCAAAGCTAGCGGAGGGCTCCTACGGTGAAGTTTACAAATTTCATCTGCGCGAAGAAGCCTGCAGGCCGGTGGTCTCAAAGTCCAAATTGGCCAAATTGAAATCATATGGCGATGGAGTCTTCAAGGTCGTACCTCTGCGAGCCAAGAGTGGTCCTGGGTCCAAGAAATTCACCAGTATCGAGGAGATTGTCTCCGAAGTCAAGATGCTGAAATACCTTGACCCTATTCCTGGATTTGCCCGTTTCAGAGAGATCCATGTTGTTCAAGGCCGTTTCCCAGAGTCATTCCAGAATGCGTGGGACCACTACAAGAAAACCAAAGACGACTGCATGAATCCTAACCCATCCAACAAGAGGGCATACCCCGATACACAACTTTGGGCAATCATCGAAATGGATGATGCGGGATGTGAACTGGAGAAGTTTGCTTGGTCCTCGATTTTCCAGATCTATGATATCTTCTGGGGAGTTGCCATGGCTTTGGCACGGGCCGAGGAGTATGCCCTCTTTGAGCATCGAGATCTGCACTTGGGAAACGTTTGTATCCGCTCTACTCGGCAGGATGGCTGCATGGATCCTCCCACAGAGCAGGACATTGCACGCCATTCATGCTCCAGTGGATTTGGGTTCAGCTCTATTGAAACCACCATTATCGATTACTCCCTCTCTCGAGCGGAGCTGCGATTGACCGATGACCCCAATGGAATGATCGAGGTTGCATCGTCTGATTTGGACAAGAAGCAATTATTCGATGCTATTGGTCAAGATGAGGATGAAATTATGCAACGAAACACCTACAGATAGTATGTTACTCTATGCATCTGATCCATACGTTTATACTGACTGTGACAACTAGTATGCGCGCAACACTTTACACCGGAGACCCAGCAGAAACAGAAAAGCCAGCAAATATTCCTGGCATTTGGGCGGAATACTCCCCGCGCACCAACTTGGTTTGGCTACTCTTCCTGCTCCAAAGCCTCTTCAAGAACCGCAAACCTGAGCCACCATCTGCTCTTCCCCAGCGTAAAGCACTCGCGCCTTGTTCGCCAAACAAGAAAACGATCAAAGCTGAAACAGCCAATGGGAAAGACCAGAAGGTGACCAACGCTTTGGTTAAGGGGCAACAAACTCAGGCCTGCATCTCTCGTCTCAAGTCAACACTAGAGGATCGGCTGAAGTCTGTCCTTGAACTTCTTGATCTAGAACATGGTCACGAAGACATGTGCTGTGCTGCTGATTTGGTGGCATATGCCATGGACTCGCAATGGCTGGGCGAAGAGGACTTTTTCTGATTGATGATTCCGCATACGATAAGCATTGGAAGATTGGACTGCGGCGTTTTATTTTTCTTCAATATACCTAGGACCAGGAGTTTGCATACATCGGTTGTTGGAGTTGGAATTATGGGCATTCGCATTGTTTCGGATAAATCATGAACATTTGTCAAATGAACATAGAATATCGTCTCATTTCTAATCCCGAATAAGATACAAAATGTTGCTCAACATGGAAAAGGTTCTACCCATCTACTAAACTCAACGATTGAATGAAGTCTATTTCCAGCCAAAGAACATGCCGCAACCACGAACCCAAGAGGATCCCAGTCAACATCTCCGTCCCCCAACATTAAAAAATAAGAATAAAAGCTACCTAATCTATCTCTATCTCTCCCATCTAACCCAAAGACTTCCAAACGCACAACTTTTGCAGTCCAAGGATAATAATTCCAAGACCAAAGAATAAAACTTAGAAATTGCCGTAAAAAAAAAACAATCCCAGCACTTCAGAAACGAGACCAAAAGCTGTCGGAATGCTTCAGTCCCGTCTCTGTGAAAGAAAGAGAAAATTAACAATTAACAATTAGGGAAGTCTTTGGTCGCTTTTTTGCTGGATGAGAGTTCTCTCAGTTCGGACATTGGCAGACACTTTTTGGGGTACATTAGGTATGCTGCGCAGGTAGATGCCCTAGAACATGATTTTTTTTTCCTCACAGCGCAATGGCCGCACCAGCGCGGTAGAGCTTGATGTTGAGGACGGGGCGCTTCCAAAGGGCGAAGGACTTCTGGTCCGACCAGTTGATGGAATCGGGGAGCAGTTCCATGTCGAACGTCCAGAGGAATTTGGCCATGAGCAGGCGCATTTCGGCGTTGGCGAGGCTGGTTGGTGTTGTTAGTGTTTGGGGTTTCTTTTTGGCTTTGGGGCCGTGTATAATAGTATAACTCACTGTTGACCAAGGCAGTTCCGGGGTCCGTATGAGTAGGGCTGAAAGGCGTCCTTGTTGTCGTTTTCGAAGCATTTGAACTCGGCGAGCCAGCGTTCTGGGATGAAAGACTCGGCGTTCTTGAAGTGGGAAGCGGCGTTGAAGGCTGAGAATAGCGAAATTGATACAGAGACCTGGGTTTGTGGTTGTTAGAATTCATATTTCAAAATGGTTATTTAGTTGTGTCGCGAGAGAGTTGTTTGAAGATCAGACCATGTCTTGATGTTTGATCTAAAACAAGCTCCAAATTGCCCAACAACATATCAGTAACTCGACTCACATTTTCAGGGACGTATTTGCCGTTAATGAAAGCTCCACCCTCGGGCACAATGCGTGGTAACATGGACGGGATAGGAGGGTAAACGCGCATGGTCTCGGTCAGGACGGCATTCAAGTAGGGCAAGTCAACAAGAGAAGTCAGCTGGATCTCGGACAGGGAGCTGAAGGCACCACGGATCTCGCGTAGAAGTCGCTCGTACTTATCACGGTTGCGAAGGAGATAATAAGTACAGCCAGACAACAGGGCAGCAGTGGTCTCACTACCGGCGAGAACGAAGACAGCCGCATTAGCATCCATCTCCTCAGGGGATACACCCTTTCCATTAGTGGAATGCTTGAGAATGTATGAGGTGAAATCAGGCCTGGTGGTCCCACGAGCAAGACGACGACGGACTTTCTCAACGCTCAAATCGAAGCTGGCTTGGCGCTTTTCGAGGAGGTGCTTTGGGACCAGGAACTTTACCAGAGGGACTAGGAAAGGGTAGAACCAAATGACTTTCAGATAGGCACTGGCCTTGACGGCGTCCAAGATTATCAGTACCCACCAGTGGTACTTACTGTTGTCGAGACAGCCGAAGGGCTCGCCGAATGCAAGGTCGCCAATTAGGTCGAAGGTGGTGAAGTTGAACCAGCGAGTGATGTCGAGATCTTGCGAGACAGAACTGCCCATGATTTCCTGCAGCTTCTCGATGAACATGTCGGCGTATTTCTGGAGGATTTCCTCCTGTTCGCGCAGGGCTTTGTTCGAGAAGGCGTGGGTCAGCAAACGGCGCATCCGGGAGTGATCCTCCTCATTTGCTGTGATGATTGCGTCGACTCCGTTCGGAGTGGGTGCATACAAAGCCGGGTCCTTGAGGAAGATTTTGTGTCCCTTCTTGCGGTGGCCGTAGATGTCTTTCCAGGCTGGGGCGGCGCGGTAGACTAGGGCATTCGGGGCGATGCGAACCACATCCCCATACTGGTCATGCAGGGCCTTCATAGTCGTGTGCTGCTTACCCTGGATATCCCAGAGAAGGTGAACAAGAGGAGTAATAGCAGCAAGCTTGGGTCCAGGGTAGCGAGACAGAGGGTGGATGTACAGGTTGTAGACGATGCAACCGACATTGTAAGCCAACAGCTATAGAAGTTTGCAGCCTTGATGAGAATCATATGTTTTGATTTTGCTTTTCTGCATCATAACTCACCAACAGAAGAAAAGCGGACAATACTTTCCAGCCAGACAGGTCGGTTAGGGCATAGCGCCAGCCAAAACTCACAACCACAGAATCAAAAAACATTATGAACAGATATTAGAACGTAAAGTACATGCCAAAGATGAAGAGAACTTCGCTTCCAAACCAAGCCCACTGCTTCAAACGGACTGGCGGTGAGAAACACCGGATGCAGGGAAGGGGAGAGGTGAAGAAGGAAGAAGAAGAGCAGGGGTCCGGGGATTTGGGATCAGGGGATGGAAAACCCGCATGAAACGGGATTATAGCAAGTGAGAATAAGAGAGGCGAGAGATACATTGCCTTGGCTACAGGGTGGAAAACTATACAAGATGGTTGGGGGCGAATATAGTGGTAAAGATACTAAGGAGTATACCGTTTAAGTTCGAGTTTGAAGCTCAAGTTAGGGCACACGCCTACGCGTTTAGTCTCATCACCACATTTAAGACTGACTCAGGAGTCTACAAGTAGACAAGGGCATGCCCTAACCGAAATATTTGATTGTGGGGGAAATTCCTTACTCGTAATTCGTGATATGTGAACATGTCTATTATATTGACAGCAGATGCCTGAAGTTGTACTTATGCACTGGCAACAGAGAAGCTCAACATGCTTCCAGCAGCCAAGCCACCCACGAGTACCATGCTCATGAAACCACCAGCAGCCGGCCTCTCATCAGCAACGACCCAATGGCTGGCACCCATCATACAGCTCGTCCCCAGGTACCCATTGGTAGCGCCGAACAGAAACTGTACAGTAAGATAAAAAATGTCACTCTTCACAACAGCCCCTTTGCCGTTGATGTTGCAAAGTTGGTAGATTGGAATAAACATGACCCGTGCAATGGCCACGATAGCAGCCACTTGAGGATACTTGCCCAGGGAAACCCCGGGAATAGCCACACCCATTCTCCCGACCAAGTCACCGAGGTTCCAGAGTAAGAACGCCAGGGGAACAAAGACGCTGGGGTCATAGATCCGTGAGCTAGCAGGGTCATTGACGGATTGAATTTCCGCTGTGTAGACCGGAAAGACCATAGAGACCAGGAAGCACATAAAAACAGCGAACGCCAGGAACCGCAACTTTGTGAACAAAGTCCACAGACTGACGGTCCTGGAATGTTCGTGCTCATCATTAATAGACTCATCGTCCGCTCTTGCCACCTTTTGCCTGGACTGAGGTTGGTTCCTGAGAAGATATAGAAAAGCCAACAGCGCAATCACCGAGATGCCCGTCGAAGTGATAAAGTAGACAAAAGCCGATCTCGACGAAGTAGTATGCGGCATGCTCGGGTCTTGTACCTGGCCCGGGTCACGATCAACGCTGTCCTCGTTCGACGGCACAGCAAGCACAGAGAAGATCTGAATAATACAAGGCAGCACACCCGCAACACCTTGTCCACTCATAATTGCCTGCGTATATTCGTCTCTCCCAAACCCAGAAACGTACGCAAAGACACCGTTCTGGTTGATACCGGTTGCCAAGCTTGCGCCGAACACCATTACCATCAAGAAACCGAAGTATGCCCGCGCAGACACATCACTAAATACGATGGCCGAGAATGCCAGAACTGCGAACACGGCACAGTTGATCAACAGCGAGAGCGTTATGCGCCATGGGTATGATGCGTTCTTCTGCAGCTTTGCTAGAATATAGGCGATCCCGAGATTGGTGACGGTTGAGACTGAGAGAATAGAGGGTTGGTAGTGCAGTCTTGTCCAGTCATCGGACTGGAACCGAGTATAGAAATATGGTGTTGCGGCAAGGAACATGTTCCTATAAGGTGCTCCACGTTAGCTTCATGGTTCTTCGATGCGCTTGCTCTCCGTGTTCCGATGCTGGATCCCACTTACCAGGCCCACAGCATGGATATTCCAAGGAGGAAGAAGATTCCATATTCTAGTCTTGAGAACTGAGATTCGTCCCGTCGCTGCGCTCGTGTCGTTCCGTCGGTATCGTCTGCGAACTCGTTGATCGGCTCATATGCCGCTGGACGGGCCATGAGGCTGCGTATCCTGTCCATAGTTGGTTTATTTCCGGTCTCCCTGGTCACAGAAGGAAGATATTGCAGACAATAGGGAGCTATTCCATGTCAGGGAGCTGTAGGTTGGCAGATGATGTCGGAGGTGCAGCTGGGCAGTCCGGATGATTCATTAGTAAGCACGATATGCAGCCCATGCGGGCGATCTATAAAAACATAATCTAGAACGGACTGGGTTATAGAAACCTGTACTCCGAACAAAAAAACGTATCCCCCCGATACTACGGGGTTTACCATTTCCCTCTGGCACTCCGTATTGGACAGATTCAAAGGGGATTTCCACCCAGGCAAGGTCATCCCTGGATAACGAGATCTACCAACTCATTTCATTTGCTATTCTTATCTTTCACAAATACCAAGCGCCAGACTGGGATTGTCGGCCAGGTGATGTAATGTAACCTTGGAAATGTCGTCTTATAAGTAACCGACATAGTGACTCAGTTGAAATTGCTTCTAGTGGTATTCGATCAGAATGTCTACGTTTACGCCACTTCTCTTCCTTTGGTTGTAAGGATTACAAAAAAATTCGATAGGACAGTCTGTCTTATGCCGTTATATTAGACAGCATGGCCCTACGCTTTATGTTACCGTCTGTTGTCTCAATGTTTTCTAGTGTTTTGAACTCGGGGACTTCATGAAATCCATACTTTATACATCCTGGCAGTAAGTAGCTACCGGCAGGGAATAGACAGCATGTGGCATTTTCTCTTTTCATTCGCGTAGGTTCTTATGTCATAAGCTAATGAATAACATCATAGAGAAGAGCAACTACCATAGTCTTGAAAAAAGTTCACATGTCTTCATTCATAGAGGCTATATATTGACACACGCGTAATATCCCAGTCTACCCGTATTCTAACCAAACGCCAGCCCTTTTGCGTAGGTGAAATATACACCCGCTATATACCGATACATCCAAGGCAGAATGAGCACCCAGGACCCAAACCCACACATTTGACCGACAAAAATGCCCAAAATATAAGAACAAAACGCTTCAAATACCAATATCAGATCAGAAGATAGAAGATAGAAGACAAACCATCTTAGAAGGAGATACCTCCACCAAGGAGATTGCCCCAGTTTCCACCAACCCAAATCCAATTACCCATAGAAACCTCAGTCCCAGTCTTCGCCGACTGAGCCAAATCAAGTAGCGCCTTGAAAGCGTTGCTGGAAGAAGAAGCATCACTGGTAGAGCTAGACGCCGAAGTCGAAACAGACGTACGACCCACTGCGTTGGTAACATTGTTCAAGCTGTCGACGGTATCAATAGCCGGACCCTGGTTGAAGAAATCGACTAGGATGAACGTCGGCTGACGGCCATTCCATGCAGACTTGCAATCCGATGCCGCAGTGCCCAGGTTACCAGTTCCACCAGAAGGCGCGTTGGTCGTTGCAACGTAGCTGGCATTGGGGTACTCGATGTCGAAGGCTGACAGGTCGCTCGAGTAGAGGAAGTGGTTCATGAGTGGGAGGAGGTTGGATGAGAGTGCAGAGTCGAGGTTGCCTGAGTAGGTAGAGGGTCGGTCGGGTTGGCAGCTGAAGTTTGAGGCGGAGGTCACGTCGTAGGGGTTCTCCCAGACGTAGCTCCATTCGTCCAGTAGGTAGGGGTAAGAGGTGCTCGCGTCGATGGATGATATGAATGTGACTAGCCGCTTGCCGTCATCGATCATTGTTTGGAGGGTTGGCCAGGTGCTTGAGGCGGAGCTTTGGGAGGTCGGCTCGTAGGCGTAGTCTGTTATGTTTGCTGTTGTAAACTCGGTGTTAAGTTCTGAGGCGGTTGCGCTGTCGGAGTTGACGAGGAGGATCGTGACGACTGTTTTTAAAATGCATTAGTCCCATGCTTGTTTGTTTGGGGGTATCTTCGCGCATCCGTCTCACCTTCGTTAGGGTTGTCATCCAGCCAACTCTTGATGTCCTTCAGCCAGTCGCTCAGCAAGCCTGCGTCTAAAATGTTGCAGGAGCTATGGCATAGACGCCATTGTGAGTTGCTCTTGTGGACTTGGGCTGTTACTAGCCGGACACCGGCTGACAGCTGTGTTTTGGTGTCGTAATACCTAGCCTGCGTTAGTGTGAAGCTGCGGAGCTCAAATCCGGGGAACATACTGGTCACCAGCGACCGAGTTACTGGTACTTGAGTCGCGCACGAAGGGACTGTCATGAGCGCCGAGATGTGTGATTTCACCATAGGTCTTGGAGCAAAGGTCGGGCGAGTTGTTGCATGCTGTCGTACGCTTGTGGATCACTGGATTCGCAAGGACCGCGGGCAGCAAGGCCAGGAAGTTGAATGCGCGCATTGTATATAAAAGTATAACAGTATCGAATATGAAATGTAATAGGTAAAATATAAAGGAGTACAAATAAGACAAGTATGTAGACTTAAGAGGGAGGAGTAGCAGATGTTTACAAAGGCCGCGTTGCCGTCTCAACTATTCTTAGATGGTGGATCTGCAGTGCACTGCCATTGGGGCTCGGCAGCCCTTTTACTTGCGACTCCAATTTTGCAGGCTTACGCATATTCATCCTTTAATAGTCTAGGCACTCAGGCAACTATTAATTATGGTGGCAATCCCTGACAATCTCCTATGTCTCATATGAATAATACACATGTACGTGTCCATGGAGGCTTAGTGTCTTAATGGGTATTATATTCATTTATTTACAATTACATGCTACTGTACAATGGACGCCTAACGCTTCATAGCCCTTTCAGGGACAAACGTATACCAGGAGCACGTCGCTTGGCCCGAGGTGATCGTGGCGGATTTACCAGTCGCTCCCAATCTTTCTCCATTCCATCGAAAAGAGTTGGGTCGCCCCAAGCGCAGAAGACGTCGTCCAGGACTTTTTGTAGTGGATAGGGATTTCGCCGCCGCAGCATGCGGTTCATGCGCCGTGCTGAAAGGACGTGGTGGCTGTAGAGCATGGCCATTCGGTGTCGGACTGCTTGTGAGATCAAGCGTTTATCAAGGCGAAGACCTGACGCTTCCAATTCCCGAAGAAGAATGAGGCCCCGGACCCATGGAATGAGTTTCTCATTCGTCGTAGGATGGGAAACGGTGAATCTTGACGCGGTTGTGTCGAGCACTCGAAACATGAATCCCCAGGAGACAATGGCAGCTTGCATCTGGGGTGTGAAGACCAAATCGAGCATCCGTCGATCGCGACCATTTGCCAGTTTTGTAGAGTCAAGCGGAGATCCAGTGGAGGGGGCTTGTGCCCAGGGAGTCTGTTTGGTGGTCCCGACATATTGGCAGACGAGCCACTGGCAGCAATCTCGGAGCTTGTCCCAGTCTGCCCACGCATTTGCCATGCCGAGTCGCTTAAGCATCTCCACCCAAAATGCAGCACTGACATACCCTCCTGCTGGAACCACACGCTTCAAAATCTTGAAGATGAAAAGGACCTCGTCAACCGCGGAGAGGCGCTGGCCCGGAGGCGGACGGTGGTTCATTCGGCGTGGGGTGAGAACCTGCTCAGCCATAAAGTCCACGCTGTCTTCACTTAAACTCCGGCCATTTAGTGCTAGCTCGTCGGTGACCTTGGCTGCCGCACTTAATTCCCAGGCTGCGATGTGCTTTCGGAAATGGATGTCGAAGAGATCAGGCGCCTCAGGGTGCAGTTCCGTCAAAATTGCCAGTGTCATATTATATAGTCGCCAATCCCGAGCCATGTAGTAGGATACTAACATTGTCTCCTGCATGCGCACATCTTCGAGAACATCCGGGTGTTGGTCGCTGCGGAGGATATCTGAAAGGAGGATGTCACGGTTTTGCGCTGCGAGTTTCTGAAGCAAGCGCGCAAATATGGAATCTCCCACAGAAATGCCAGATTGTTTGAGAATTTTGAGCTTCTCCAGAATGTCCTGGTTGCCATGAGCTCTGATGGCCATCTCTCGCAGCGTGCGTGGGCCAATTTCTGATACTCCGAGCATCTTGAGTCCACCGAGAACCATGTCGAAATTGAGAGCACGGGTAGCGAACATCTTCGCACCGATGTCGTCTTTGAATGGCCTTCCGTCTTTTGTGCTTTTTTCGGCTTTCGGGGTTGGATCTATTGGGCCGGGCTGATCAATCGAAGCTTCAGTATCAAACCGCTTTTTAACATAGCCACGAAGCCTATTAAACTCTTTCCGTCGTCCAAATTTCTCCACAAACTCAAGCAATGGCTGTATTTCATCGGGACTTTGTGGATGATCCTGGCGCCGAGCGAGGAAATGATGCATGGAGATTGCGCCCTCTCCTTGGCCTTGCCGTATAAGCATCGCAATGGCCGGGCCATATATTTTGTGGTCAGTGGTTGCGGAGCAAATTGCCTGGAACGCCTCTAAACCAGGTGTCAAGGAGAACTCCTGTGGATCCGTGGTAGTTGCCACCTCCATGCCAGCTGGAAGAGACGATAGACGAATCGCCGATGGAAGAATCTGCATAATATCACTTGCGCCAGCAATCTGGGATTTTTGCAGCCTTTTATGATATTCAAGCGCACGTTTCGGCATGCCTTGGTCCAGAAGCCCACCCACGATCCTCACATATAACTGCGGCCATCGATCGCCTTGTCGCTTCCACAGATTGACGGCATATTCAAGCAAACTGTCAAGATAAAGTTCCCGCCTCAGTCCCAGGTCCACAAAGCTCTGCCAGAAGAAGTCCGCCTGTTCTCCTGTGACCGGCAGTCGAACCCCGTCCAATCGGACTGTCAACCCTTCCCATATTTGTAACGTGCCATTGTCACCATAGTGACGCTGGCGGTATCGAAGAAGTTCTTCCCATAGATCAAAATTATCTCGAGAGCCCGGGTGGTCCACTAATCGCGTTCCAATGCTGTCGAGGTGTCCAACGTCTGATTCGAATTCAAGCTTTTCCGGCCGAAGTGATAGAGTTTTGGTAGGGCATAGCGGATTTTTGGGCGCTTTGCTCGGCGCAACGGATATATGTTCAGAGGTTTCTTCGCCCAGAGACTCAATGTCGTAGATCGCAAAGCTGAATGGCCGTTTCCCTCGGCATGAGTCGTCAAGCTTAGTTCGGGTAGGATTATTATCGGGTTCGTCGAGTGGTGCTGGTTTGGCGTCTTGTGAATGGCATCGTAAACACCTGTATCTGGACTCTAATTGCTCGATTCCGATCGGCGTTGCTGTGAGGGTATCAAGGATCGAGACGGCGGACGGCCTCTTCAACAGTCGCAGAAGCGCCGGGCGCATGAGTGATTAAGAGTGAATGATCGGGAGAGACAAGTTTCGACGTCGAACATCCTTCTGCGAGCTCCAGGCGTCAAAATGAAAAGTAACAAGGTTGTTTTCGAACAAATGTAAAGCTTCAAGCACTTTTCTGGAACGACGCGCTTTCCCTTTTTGGGACGGCTGACTCGACACAAGGTCTGATTCGATCAGGTGATGTTCACGTGACGTGATTGACGTCCCTGTCCCTTCCGGCTCTTCGTCGACATCTCGCCATACTCCGAACCTCCAGTCTCCCCTCCTTTCTCGCTCCCAACCGCCAAAATGTTCCGTGCTACCAGCTCCCGCATGGCCGGGTATGTCGCTCCCTTCAATCGCTCTACAAGTCCCCCGCACACAACCCCGAGCATGACCGTGCGACCATCGAATTTCCTCTCACGATCTTCGGGTCCGGTTGCAGTCCAATTGCGATTCATGTTGCTGCGGGGACAAATTATGTCGACCTCTTACGACAAATTATGCTGACTGCTTTGCTCCTTCTAGCTTCGTGTTCCGTGAGAACCGTGTGCCTTTCTACCAGCGCCTCTTCCAGAACCACGACGGCAAGCGTCAATGGTGGAAGGTCAGTTCGACCCGGAATGGGCACATACGCCCTCAATTGGATATCAACAAATATCTAACGTTGGAATTGCTTCGCAGACCTCCCGTTCCGCTTACATTATGTACCCCTACCTGATCTCCGTCTATGGTCTCGGTGCTGGTGAGTGGATCCTTTTTCCGACATTATGTACTGTCGCGTGCATAGAGCTAACCGGACAACAGCTACCACCTACGCCATGGGCCGCATGGTCTTCGTTAGTCTTGCCCAACTCGCCCCGTGTCGTTTTTCGACGACCAGGGCCGGTTAATGTTTGGATGTGTCCATTTGCTGACTTCTTAATAGGGCCACAAGACCTGGATCTAAGCGACCAGCTATGAGACCTGGTTTGGCAAGAGATAGAGGACGCCACTTTCAGTTCCGAGGGTTGTGAAGCTGCGGTGTCAGTTATTTCTTATATGGTGTACTTCTATTCCAAGAAAGGGTTAGATGGGTTGGCAGCTACGCAGATTTGGAGCTGTACATATGATCAATTCAAGCGCCAATTCAAGATTGTTGCCTCGTATTTTTTTTCTCCTATCTCACGCCATCACTCCCTTGGGCTCTCTTTCAAGATAAACTGGCTGCTTCGTCGTGGAGAGAAAGTATCATCTCACAAAGCGGCAAAACTGATGTCAAGGCTTTCGAATTCAGTGATAGGGCATTATTGCTAGATCTTGATTCTAACACTAGAATCCATCTGGCCGTGCACATTTCAAGGTGACCACTGAGAATCAGAAATTGGTGCAGGGCAAGCCTCTCTCATTGACAGAATCCGGGTCAAATAACTCAATCTGCTGCCTCGGAACCTCCTTTCCTATCGCAGAAAAATCCATCGAGGCTCTTCTTTCAGTTGGACCCTCTGTACAATTTTGAGAGCGCATAATGGGAACATTCCCACAGGGTCTTGAAATTGCGAATATCTCTGAGCCTCATGAGAGACCATGCAGCGTAGTTGACTAGCGCTGATGTCATGCTATGATCATGATGCAGAGAACTGAACATTATTTTCAAGGATTCCGACACTGCAAGTCGGTGCTAACCGGACTCAGTCGATGCACAGTACTTTGCGGTGTTGAGCGCTAAAATAACCTGAGGAGAGGCATGTTTTTTTAAAGTGTTATGTTCTTGTAGGGCCATGTGAAGGCAAGGATGTTCATATGCGCGACCAGCAGGTGGGTGCGAGAGACATCCTGAGTCTTCACAATGTCTTCAGAGGCTGGCTGGGCGTCACTTTTGACCTTGGCCTTCTTTTTCGGTGGCTCCACGGACATGAGTGGCTTTGAATGAGGGAGTATCAGGGCGTATTTGCCGGTGTATGCTTATTCCACAATACAGGTGAGAGCTGCCTTGTTCGCTTGCAATATGTGGTTTCCGGATGTGTTTTCTGATCGCTCCTTCAGTTTGTCGGCTAGTCCGTTGAATTTGGCTTGCAGCAGTTTTCTGTGAATTTTGGGCGCTTCGTCGTCATCGTCGGCATGAAGCTCCACAAAATCAGAATCAAGGAAACTATGGCGTGTTAAGAGATGTTCTATTTTCTTTCTGGGAAAACTATAATCATTTACTCTGGAAACGTCAAGGACTTGGAATCCATGTTTTCTGGCATGGTTGTTCTTGAAGTTTGGTTCGTTGGGCTGAGAGGTCCAGAAGAATGGCAAGTAGGCTCAATGTTCAGAGTGACCGGAGATTGGAATTTGGGTTGATGCTGGTGGAAGAATAAGACCTGACTTTGAAAATTATCAGTGACATGAGTAAAGGTGAGATGGAAGAGAAGGGTGAAAGAGAAGAAACCTTTTATAGAAAATGAAGGCAGAGGTGAGATAGCTTGACGGTAGAAGATCTCACAATTCAATTGAGGGCGCCTTTGTGCCAGCTTCGGCTACACTGCTACTTTTACTATGCCTAGTCAATTGTAAGGTACACTGCTGGGGAGTTCTAAAAGATATTCACAATAAAGTCACCCTTGCGCTGTTTCCTGACAGATGCGTACTCCCTCAAAACCCAGCCTCTTTTTTCACATACTTTGAGTGTTTAAGCCAGTCCCAGGTGCTTACCTACATTCTGTGTCCAATAATCAGAATCGTAGACGGTGTCTCTCTGTCTCTCTATAACACACTGTCACGCCCCAGAACTTCTGATAAACCAACCCAATGCGTAGAAAAAAATTCCATATCTTAGTGCATGGCCTCATCACTTTTGGTCTCATCAACAGAATCTGAAGCCAACGCCAGTCATTTGCTAATGTTTCAAACCTCTTTTGATATATGAATTTCCTGATTGGGGATAGGTGTGCTGAGTCAGCTGTGAATCTCGCAGCCCTGGATTGGCCCCGAATGAATGGACTAGATTTCGACACTACACCCCACTGATTGACTGCTTGTCTGCTTTGAAGAATGAGAATTAAGCCGAGAGGGCACTCTCCAAGCACATATATATTGTAATAGGAATTGTGCATTGAACCCCTGAAACTCCGCGGTATTCTCTTATTATGGCTGTCACGATCGAGAGCCATGCACCCTGACACTTGATTCTCGCACATACAATCATGGATGAAGGCCAATTTACATATACTGAGCGACCCGCCAAGCGGGTTCGTCAGGCTTGTGAGCCTTGCAGGTGAGTATTCATGCCACTTGACTATTGATCGATATAGCCGTTGACCAATATCTCAGGCGGAAGAAAGCTAAATGCCCCGGGGAGCAACCTGTCTGCTCTCTCTGTGCTAGGCTACGGCAGCAATGTCTATATGCTGAAGAAAGGCGCCGGTTACCACCCCTCGAGGAACACTCGAGGGTAAATGACGCAGACAATCGAACGTCCAATGTTCTGGTAGTTTCCCTTGAACACAATTTACAAGTGACGTGGATTTCATCGGTATGCTGACTCCTTATTAGGAAGATAGAATGCGAAGTCTTGAGAATAAACTTGGAGAGGTTCTCAATGTGCTTGGGTAAGAACAGGCAATGTATATAAGCCGTGACCACACCACTGCTGACTGAAGTATCAGTAGCTCGAGAGGCGGAACACAAATGCCAGCGGATCATCACATTCCCTCTGAGACACTGTCAAGACCAAGCTCATCCATTACGCTACCACCATGGGAGGAGATATTGCCTATTGCAGAACTATATTTGCAGTATTGTGAATCTCAGCCTCTTCCTCTCTTCCACAGGGACAGCTTTCTCAGAACTCTACAAACACGAGATTCTGAGATCATTTTTGCCATGCTAGCACTGGCATCTCGATTCTCATGCTCTCATCCTAATAGGACCGAGCCTACAAGTCTTGTGAATGGTTATGCCGAGGTTTCTCGAGGCTTGATCATGAAAAGAGTCTCGGAGGGCCCCGTGGAGCTTTCAACGCTCCAGTGTCTCTGCCTTTTGAGCTTGGTAGATTTTACAAGTATGGAATCGACATATTGTATCCTCTCCTTGTCGAATGCTAACCGTTCCCATTAGATGGCAACACGCATCGCTCCAGCATCCACAGCAGTCTAGCAATGAACCTTGCGCAATGCGCCAATCTTGGCCAAGAGCCACGCACTACGGTTAGCACCACAGTTCGCGAGGAACGAAGATGCTGCTTCTGGAGCATATGTCTCCTCAAACGACTACACGGCGGGGAGTTCTCGATATTAGACATGCCTGAAGTTGGAAGGCCGCCTTTTCCCCAAAGCCCAAAACGACCAGCACGGCTGCTTTCGCCGGGGCCTTCAACCGTCGAAATGCGGCGAAGTGACATGCAAGACGAAGGAATCATTGCCTACGTGGTAACACTGAGTGAAGCATTTGCACGAACAGCACGATACGTGCGACTTCACGGCCGGCCCAGCAATGTCCCACCCTGGTCTCCCCATTCTGAATACTCGAAGATCCTCGCCTTGCAGATGGATCTTGAGACTAGAATGCCCTACACCCATCGGTTCAAGCCTGCAAATCTAGGCGACAGAACCCTAGAGGAACTACAGACACATCGTGAATACTGGGGTCCTTGGTTCTTGAACCAGTTCATGTATCACACCAGTTTGTGTCTTCTGAACCATCCCCTCCTGCTCTCCTTGAGTCTTCGCAATTTCCGGAATACCATTCCAGAAATCTTTCTGCAGCATACATCGGACTTGATTTCTTCGCATACGACCTGGATCATTCATTTCATCAATTACTTTGAAGAGAAATCGTTTCTGGTTTCGGATCCGCTACTGGGCTATAGTGCTGCTGTTGTGGCTACCATCGAGCTGCAACTTAGCTTTACAGATAACTCGACAATCAGGGAACAGAAGCGTGAGAGATTTACCAAATGCGTCAAGTTTGTACAGCAGATAGGCGAAAGATGGCCACATATGGCCCGGTTGGTACGAACATCATCTTTCCAGGAACAGGATCAACAGTAAGATGGACTGACCATATCTTTCTTATATGACAGGCTCACAGACTCCAACGCCTAGAAGATGCAGTCTCAGCAACCTACCAATCAGACCCAGACGCACAAAACCAAAGCCTCCTGATCGACTTGTCCCGCTTCTGGGAAATCCTAGAATACTCCTCAAACAGCGACGCAGACTCTGCCCGACGTCTATTCGGGGGATCTCTCTACGCAGGATCCTCTTCTGCCGGTGCAGAAGTATCCCAAACATCCCCTTTACCAGCGCCGTTCCGACTGAATCCCCAAGATGAAGGCACCCCAAACCTTCGACAACAGCCCTTCACTGCCAATGCCGCCTTTCCAACCGAGGAATACCCAGCGAACTCTCTAGTCTCGCCGCAGCATTTAACGCTGTCGAATGATGAGTTCTCGATCCTCGCTACGAATTTCTTCTCGCAGGGTCAGGAGTTTCTCCGTAGTGCGGATAATTGGGATAGTATTGGGAATTTTTAGATAGAGATAATACATTCTTTCAATTCTCGTACGTCTATCTGATTGTATTTCATTTTTTATGTGATAAATGCAAGATCGATTTCATCATATGTTAATAAAAGGACGCCGCTTATAATGAAGACAGCGCACCTTTGAACACCTCGACGAACTTGAATACTTCGGAGAAAGTGTTGTACAAAGGCGTAGGCGCAACACGGACTACACCGGGCTCGCGCTTGTCGCAAATGATACCCGCATTCTGCAGCCTGTCCGATACTGTGTGCAACAAGCCAGGCTTGAGCAAAATGCTCAATTGCGCACCGCGAGCATGGGGATCTGAGGGTGTGATGATCTCAAATAAGCATGTCTCTTTCGTAGTATCCTTCAAAAGCAGGTGCTCCAGATAGGCTGTCAACTTGATAGACTTCTGGCGCAGGTTTGTCATTGAGGTCTGGTCGAAGACGGACAATGCTGCGCAGAGACAGGTGAGATCAATAACTGAAGGGTTGGAGAGCTGGAAACCTCCGGCACCAGGGATAGGCTTGAAGTCTGCTGAGAATTAGCATATGGTCCAATTCCTACGTCTTAGCAAGAGTATGCTAGAATGGAAAAACTCACTGTTATCCATCTTAAATCTGACCGAGCGGTCACCACCATACCATCCAGTCAACCGATGACGGAACTTTGGAGAGTCCTCGCCAGCACTGTAATCAACCTTCCCATGTCTCTCATGAACGAAAAGACCACCCATCGCGCCGGGCCCGGCATTTCCATACTTGTACGTACACCAAGCAGCAAAGTCAACGTTCCAGTCGTGCATATTGAGCTCCACATTTCCGTAGGCGTGAGCAAGATCCCATCCAACGACGAGATTGCGCGCTTTAGCATACTTGGTGATCTGAGGGATGTCGAATAGCTGCCCGGTGTAGTACTGGATACCGGGGAGGAGAAGCAACGCTCCATCCTCGGCGTGCTTGTCGATATACGACAGGATCTTCTCTGTTGAGATCTCATATTGGCCTTCATCTGGGCCAATGAGAACCATGTTCTCTTTAGCGTCGAGGCCGTGCCAGGCAATGTGAGACTCGATTGCGTACTGGAAATATGTTAGCGAGTGTAACACGGAAATCAAGTGAAAGATATTTTATCCCCGAAGGCTCAATTTAGCAAAACTTACATGGTCGCTAGGGAATGCCTTCCAATCCATTAAGATCTTTCGTCGGGTCCCAGTTGGCTTGTAGAAGCTAGCAAGCAACAAATGAAGGTTCCCGGTTAATGTGCCCATAGCGGCGACTTCTTCAGGCGCAGCACCGACAACCCGAGCCATGGACGCAGCAGCCTGCTCGGCCAATAGCTGCCATTGCTTCAATGGTGAGTCTTCGAGATCAGTGAAGTGGCCGCAGACACCAATCGATGACCAGGTATCCAGCTGGGCCTCCATGTACTTTGATACGGCCTTAGGCTGGATACCCAATGAGTTACCGCAGAAATAAATGCTGGGCTCTGAGGAAAGACCTGTGTAGCAATGTTAGATCTGATAATGCATACATGTTGTACAAGATCATATCTTGGGGAAGTCTCACCCGGCTTCGCTAGCTTCTTTGTCGCGAGATTGGCCTTGGAGGGAATAATGAATTGGTCGCGGAAACCTCTCAAAGGGTCCGCGGCATCCAGCAAGGCAGCATATTCCAGCGATGCTGCCTCTGCGGGGAATACGGGCTTGGGTGCTTTAGTGTAAATCATCTTGGCAATAATGGAATGGGTATGTGATCGGTGTACGATGATGACGAAGCGCACACAAAATCAGGGGGAGCTATGGAGGAGTGACAGTACAAGTGATTGCTCAAAACATGCAGTCGTTCTTATAATAAATGGCAGACAAATCGGAGGCGTGGGAGCTGCTACTCGTGCAACCCCGGATGAACATCCGCTTCCGCCTCCCCGATCCGTCTCCATATATCCGCTTCCTGATCCGTGTCGGTCTTCATGTACTGTGGAGGATAATGTTAACTTACCAAGTTATGTAAGGGTTATATGATGATAAATTAGTTATGATGGCAGTTTCCGTCAGTGATCTACAGTTGGGCTAGTACAAGGATAAAACATCTTTCGTATAATGCAATACCCTTGTCTTCTCGTATAGGCTGTGTGGTATCTGCAAGGAGTCGATTTACGCCATGCAGCAATGTGAGAAGACTAGCATAGTATTGCAGAGATGCAATTAGACAACACAGTATCAGCGTCAGCACGTAAGATACATCATATGCGCAGGCTTATCATTCTGCTGAAATAAAACTTGCCAATCCACCCGAAACACGGATAGAGATCCGGGTCACATCCGGGATTTATAGATCTTGACTAAACTGACCGACACAAGCCGATACAGTAAAATCCCAAGTCTATCCATGGTCTGGTGATCTTTATTTGATGCCAAAATAATAAATAATACCTTGTTTGCTGTCCAACACTCCATCTTTGTGACACAACTTGTGAACCTGCATCATTAACAATGCTCGACTCATCCAATACCTCTGTCGAGGCCATTTTCAAGGAGTATGTCCATCGTGGCTTCCTTCCAGATGGACTACCCCTGGAAAGCCTCCCAAACCCCTACTACAAGGCATGGGAAGACATCGCCAGCCAACTCCCAGCTCTCATCCAGACAGGCCAGATCCGAGACATGATCGATAATCTGCCAGTCTGTTCAATTGAGCATCTCCAAACAGAACGGGAATGGCGTCGTGCATATGTCATAATGGGCTATCTCAGCCATGCCTACATCTGGGGAGGAGACAAGCCCAAAGAAGTGAGCATCCATCCACCTCACCCTCACAATCACCGTCACGGGGTAGCAGAACCCTAACAAAACAAAACAATAACCAGATTCTGCCACCTTCCATCTCAAAACCGTTCCTTGAAATCTCTTCTCACCTCGAAGTCCCCGCCTGCGCAACCTACTCAGGCCTCACCCTGTGGAACTTCAAAGCCCCATCCCCAAACGCAGACACCACAGACCCAGACAATCTTCATGTGCAGACCTCCTGGACCGGCACAAAAGACGAAGAATGGTTCATGCTCATCTCTATCGCTGTCGAAGCCAAGGGTGCCCGATTGATCTCGCAGATGCAGGAGGCTATCAAGGCTGTCACTGCCAACGATGCAGACCTCCTTACTTCTCTGCTATACCGTTTCGCGGATGGTCTAAGTGATCTCACGCTGACGCTTAAGAGGATGTATGAGCATAACAGACCTGCTGTCTTCTTTCACCAGCTGAGGCCTTTCCTTGCTGGTAGCAAGAATATGGGACCGGCTGGTTTGCCCAGGGGTGTTTACTATGATGTTGGCGATGGGGTTGAGAGGCCCGAGAACTGGAAGCAGTTGAGTGGTGGGAGTAATGCACAGAGTTCGTTGATTCAGGCGCTTGATATCTTCCTGGGTATTAAGCATTCTGATTCGGCTTCTGGTGAAAATTTCATTGAGGTCAGATTTCATTGCCCCTATCTCTTTTCGTGAGAGTTATTGAAGATGTGCAAGTATACTGACTTTATTCCAGGAAATGCGCAAATACATGCCTGGTCCACACAGACGTTTCCTTCAAAGCCTCGCTGCGATCTCTGATATTCGTACCTATATCCAGTCATCGGCTGATAAGTCGACTGAGAAAGAAGCCTACAACGCTGCTGTCAATGAGCTCAAGGCTTTCCGGGATACACACATCCAGATGGTTACTCGGTACATTGTCATGGCAGCGAAACAACCCAATCCCCTGAAGCAGGACGCTGGCCGGGTCAACTTGGCCACGGCGAGCCAAGCCACCGAGAAAGAACACCATCTTGCTGGGACTGGTGGCACGGATTTGATTCCTTTCCTCAAACATACCAGAGATACTGTCCAGGAAGCGAAGTGTTAGAGCTTTCAAAAAGATCTGGTGTGATGACTTTATGACTGTGTTAGATTTTGACTGTGTTAGATTTGTTTCTTCAAATAATGTCGATAAACAATATTGATTCATGTTATTTCATTACTTCCAATAGTGTAGTTCGCTGCCCCTGTCCTTAGCCCAAAAAATTGGACCCGGATGAAACCCATACCATAAATAGACAAGCAATTAATCCGGGGTTTGCTTTCACGACCCTGTATTTGCATTATCCTTGACACTCGATGTCGCTGGGAAGGACCGTATGATAGACGGTGTTTTCCACACTAGAATGTGCAGTCTCGGGTGTGAATCCAGCAGTCATAGTACTGTCTCACTTTCCAGGTAACGAGGATGACAGAGTTGGTGAAGATATAACCCTGAGTTAGTCTCTTCGGGGCTTCATGCGGGGAGCAGAGGACCATAGATGAAGCGCTGTGTTCGGAATTCTCCTGGGCCGATCCATGGCGGTCTCAATTACGAGATGCCGGGTCTTGTGTGTTCAGTGCTGATGCCTCACAAGTTTGAATTTTCCAGACGGGGTGGTGGTGACGGTTGCTGATCGAAGGCATTCTGGCAGGGTTCGAGAGAGCTAGATAGCCACAGAGCGATGATAGGCTTGCTTCTTGACATACCAAAAGCGAAGCAATCACCTCTTCTTCGTGTTGGCAGGCACGCCCTCACTCTCTCGCAATTCAGCCAGCAACTTCTCTCTCTCAACCAGGCGCTCCTTCTCTTCCTTGATCATCTGCTCGACTGTCTGGGTCGCCTCGGCCATCCGATGAAGCTCCTTGTTCTCAGTCGTGCGACTGTAAGGATTGCCGGGGGTATCACTCATAGGGATATCAGCCGTTGCAATCTGTCTGGCATTCTTCCCTTTGCTCTTCGAAGGCTGTCCACCACCGGGGCCACCGGTAAGGATCTCGTAGAACGCCTCGACAGGCTCATTGAAGATGATCTCCTCATAGTTCTGGCTGACGACTGTCTCACGGCGCTCTTTCATGCCCTCCGCATCGGGTCCGTACGGGTGTAGCTTCAGGCTGTGCCACAGGGTCTGGGCCTTCTCCCCGGACTCGGGGGCGAAGAACAGCTTGAGTTGGATTTCGAATTCACCCCAACCGGTTTCAGAGACTTCGAAGGGAGGCTGCTCAATCGTGCGGACATTCTGAGCGTATGTCTCGTGTAGCTTGAACTGGACTTTCTTTAGCCAGTAAGAGATGTCTTCGCCGTTGACTCCGCGGACGAAGATTTGCCAGCGGTGGGTGTGGTCAGGTGGGCAATCGGCTGGCTTGTTCTCTGGATCGAACGGGTGCGCGACACTGCCGAAGACTAGGGTTGTTAGCTTGCGATTGTTGGTGATGCGCATTTCGCGAACGTACCAAATGGTCGGAAGATGGAGATGCCCTGCGAGATTCGCGTTAGCTTAGTTTCGGTTCTCATTTCTGTGATGGAATACCGACTCTGACACGCTTGTTTGCTATTGCTGATGGCATTTTGTAGCTTGAATGGTTTTGTAGAAACAGTGGGATAGAATATGTTGAACAAGGGCGGAAATGGCAACTTGCTACACCGCCCGACAGATTCAGGCCTGAGGCAAGATGCCAAGACTTGCCTTCTCGGAGCAGGTGATACCGGATGACGCTAGCTGCGGAAACTGGACAAGGACATTCTTGAATGACCTCAGAGCTAGCTGGCATATAAGTAGCTGAGCTTCAACATATTTTTTGAGTTACTTCAGGTCCCTCAATTGCAAGAGTCAACAAACCATTGTTGAGGTTCCAATTCGCCTGAACCAGTGATATCATTCCCGGAGCTATCAAGAGCATCAACATGGCCGCCAAAAGATTAGTTGTTGCCGGCGGAAGTGGCTTTCTAGGTTTGTTATACGCATCTGCTTCCTTATTGGAAATCATTGCTAATTTGACATTCTAGGGTCCAGAATCTGTAAATCTGCGGCGGCAAGGGGATGGACAGTCACATCATTAAGGTACCTATCCTGGCAATTTATGGGTTTATGGATTTATGGATTCTTGTGCACTAACACACCTCTAGTCGCTCGGGTGAGCCACGGTGGGATACAGTCACTGATTCCAAGGAGCGTCCCAGCTGGGCAGGCTCCGTGGAATGGGCCAAGGCCGATATCTTAAAGCCAGAGAGCTATAAGTCGTATTTGAACGGAGCTTCAGCTGTTGTTCACACAATGGGAATCCTCCTGGAAGCAGACTACAAGGGTGTTGTGCAAGGGAGGGAGCCCATTATCAGTGGCCTCCAGCGAGCCTTTAGCTCGTCTAAGCTAGGAAGCCAGAACCTTCAGTCCAGAAAAGAGGGTGAGGCCCTCGAGCCGAAGGAGAGAGATGGGCAGTTGACCTATGAGCTGATGAACCGAGACTCAGGTGTGTACAATGGTTCTATTCAGGGTGGGAGATATATTTGAGAAGCTAACAAATGCCTTGCGCTTGGTATAGCCATTGCACTAGCCCAGGAATCTAGTAAGGAACATGTCCCGACTTTCGTCTACATCTCTGCTGCTGCTGGCGCACCGCTCCTGCCGGCCAGGTATATCACCACCAAGAGGGACGCAGAGGCAGCCATCACATCCACCCTCCCAGACCTGCGAAGCATCTTCATACGTCCGGGCTTCATGTATGACTCCAGCAGAAAATTTACGCTGCCAATCGCAATGGGTGGTTTCGTCGCCTCGGAGTTCAACGCGTTCCTCGGGAATAAGCTTGGATTCCTCGGGTCGATGGCAGAGAAGCCACTCAAAGTTGATGTTGTCAGCGAGGCGGTAGTCGAGGCATTGGAGGATGAGTCCACTAAGGGCGCCGTCGGAACAAAACAGATCGAGGCACTCGCAACCAAGGCCTGGCGAAAGTCGATGCTCTAGGTCTGGACTGAGTGACCTGGGAAAGCCTGTAAAACATGTTTTTTGGCGAACAAAATCCGGAGCCATCGATATTCTCGCTAGTTGATTCCTTGCTCTCTTAGGCAAGATTTATAATCCCACCCATGTATCATATCGCAATCAAGTTCAAGTTAAAATTAGATCATAGTGCCACGCTCGAAGCTGTCCCGAATCTCGGTAGTGTACTAGAAAATTGTCAGCATGATTCCCGATATTCAAAGAAATGAAGCACATAAAAACCCACCTTGTTATAGAAACGAGCCAGCTTCATGTTGAACTGCTTGTTCTTCTCGTTGATGTATGTCACATCAGAATCATCATCGCCGCGACGCTCCTTGCGCTTCTTCAGACGAGCCTCCTCAGCCTTATGCAGATCATTCACCAGCCTGTCAACAGCCGCACGATCCGGCTTGCTGTCTGTGAAGCCAGTAGAATCCGCGGTGGAATAGAAGCTGCCGTTCTTGTCGACTGCGATCATTTCTCCATCCTCCGTCTCCACAATCTCAAGATCACCGTTAGCCGCAGCCTTCTCAATCGCAGCCATTTTGTCCTTTTCGTATGAGTCCAAGTTGGGCTGCAGTTCCCTCATCTGCCTCTTGTACACCTTGCGCGCATCCTGTGTGTAATCCTTGAATGCCACATCGTCACGGTGGCGCTGTTTCTTTGCCATACGCTTATCCCACTTCTCGGATTCATCAACTGTCCAGTCCCATGCACGCTTACGTTCAAAGTCTTCTCCTGCCGCTTCTGTGTCTGCTTTGAGGAGGTTGTGTGAAGCGAATGCATGCTTGCGGGACAATGTGTTGAGCAGTGCCGGATCGGTGGTCAGACGCTGAGACTCGGCAGCGGTTTCTTTTAAGTTGCGTTCGGTAGCGGATTTCTATTACTCGAGTTAGTATGTGGCTAGGGTAGATGGTTTAAAGGCCACTTACTGCTCGAGCTTGCAGAGCTTTGAACCTTTCCATTCTGTCGCGCGACTTTGAGGCACCATCATCCACTTTGCTTTCGGCTTTGTTTTCAGAGCTTGTATCGGGGGTGTCCGAAGCATTCTCAATCGGTTTTTCAATCTGTTCTTCGCTCGCCTCGTCCTTTGCGGACTTCTCCGCATTTCTTGTCTGAACCATGATAATACCCTGTCGGTAAGTAAGTTGATAAGAAGCGATAGTCAAATGAAATTCAGTTTGTGGCAGCGTTGCTGAAAAGCAGGTAGAGGCAGGTTGAGGGTCGATTAAAAGCGTGAATGAGGTCCGCCTCACCGAAGTTGGCACCGCCCTTGAAATGCTGGCAGAACCCCAGACTTGACCCCTTATCGATTGTTTATCTTCTCCACCTTTTGAGGATCTCGACGGTGTCGTCTTGTTGGACATGGGAGTTCCACACCTGCTGTTGCGTAGGCAATGGCTTCCTCAACCCCGTCTGAAGTCGGGATTGGCTCGCAGTTTCTACACTCTACCTAAACCCTCAAAACAACTACACCCATCACCATCGGAATTACTTCGGTTCGCTCTGAGGGACTCAACCGAGCCAGGGCACAACTCAAGCTCAGCTGATGCTCTGCCTGCATATCTTCGTGAGATTTTCAACACCGAATGGAGGCCAAGTAGTCCACCTCCGGCATTGTGGAGTTCTCTCAGAGGGCTTTCCCCATCCCCAGGAAAAGAGGAGATCATCGATGTTCCTTCCCTACGAAGCGCTATTGAAAGATATGTTAATGATAAAAACGGAGCAGAATTCTTGCAAGAAACACTATGTGCGCCGCTAAGTCATACTTTGCAACGTCTTGAACAGCGAAACACATCGACGGAGCTTCTGCCAGTGTTAAGTGACCTTCTTGCAAGGCTACATCGTCTCCAACTTCCAGTCAAGCGAAGTTTTTATTCTATTTGTATTGGATTTGCAATGCGTTATTTGTCAGTGCCAGCTCTCAGGCATTTCTTAAACGACTATTACCGCATGGGCTTCCCGGCCCTGGATAATCAGCTAGAAATCATGTGGATATCCACTGGCTGTGCTCAACAACTTGACTCAAAATCCTTCGAAGATCCAAGCTATGACCACAAGCATATGCTTGCTGAGATCACAGGCGAAGGAGACCTTTTACCCCTAAATCGTGTGAGGCTGCATGACATCTTGTGGTTGACAGAAACCGGACGAGATAGTAAGGGGGAAAAAGTAACCAAGCATAATGCGTTCTACCTCTCTCTACTAGCAAAACTTGGGAGTGATAGGGTGCTTCATGACTGCTGGGCTCAATTTGTGATAGGCCTCACGTCTGGCCGCCGTTTCAGTGGGGGTCACGGTATCGCCTACAAAGTGGTGCTAGTACTAATCCAAAGTGGGCGCTCCGAGACAGCAGCGAAGTTCCTCGAAGATGTATCTCAGGTTTCCGGTGACAACCTTCCGGGGATTGCAAGGGTTTCAGCTCTTTGGGCTTTCCTTGATGATCCTATTGTGGGTGATGCATTGCCTGATTTGGTTAGAGGAGAGGACTACCTTGAATTGCTAGAGGTTTGCCTCGAGGGCATGGACCGGAGGATGGGTATACAGTGGGACCCTGAAAGTCAAAGTCACTTCAGCACGTCCTCAGAACCCTCAGACACTATATGGGGAGCATTTGACGAGCAAGCACTACCCATTATTGATCGACAACGCATTGCCTCCGGTCACAGCAGCCAACTATATGCAGAACTTCAAGTCAATGGCTGTTCCAAATCACCAGCTGCATTGGGGAGAATCGTGGAATTGTTACATGATCACGACGGGCAGTCCCAGGAGATTGTCACTCATCTCGATTACGACGAACTTCGACTTGAGGAATTTCACGCCAAATTTGAATCTCTTGAACTTCGATGGACTCCAGAGCACTCACCGATAGAATTCTCCAACTCACGACTACCGGCGCTGCATGACTCGTCGGTACCGTGGACTCCATCTACCCTCGGACTCATTCGGGCTCGCTTGATCGTCGATGGAGTGCCTCAGATGGGGATCAATACCTTACATTTGATGCAGCTCGGCTGCATGGACATGCGGTATGGGCCGGATCAGCCATGGCAGCCATCCGGATACACCGTTGTTTGGGATCGTCACTACAATGAACTCCTGGCCCTGTATGTCGGGAACGGGAACGGGGTCATTGATTGTGGTCCAGCGCCTTCAAACGGCCCCTTTGGGGCCTTGATGCATATCAAGCTCCCAACTGATCCCCACCGAACATTGTATTCTCCATTTGGTACTTCCACACAGGCTCGAAATTGCTATGGGCCTTACTACCTGGATGTAGATCCAAGTCCAGACTTGGTGCATTAGCCAAGGCAAACAAACGGCAGTTGGGCATGGATGTACAGGGATGCTCTTTTTGTATGTATTGATGTAGCGGTGATGAACATGGCGAAAATTTGCAGAATTTAGACATTGCCTTGCACATTTAACCTACAGGGTATTCCATTTCCTTTATCTAGACAGGGGTTCCCCTGTTGCAAATTCCAATTAGCAATGTCTGTCAATCTAGGGGGCTTGGCCAGCGCACCAGGCCATTTGGGATCCTGATCCCTGCACCGGCGACTTCGGTCCCCTATCATAGGGTCATGGACACGCACCCCGATGGAGCTTCCACGTCTCTTTCGCTATGGGGGCAGGATCAATGGTAAGGGTGGGCACGACACCAACTTGACATTGATTAAGGCATCTAGACTGTTAGACGTACTCTACTACGAATGGCAGTGCAGTGTCTATCAGATTATCCGTTCCCGTTCAAGCCATTAGAGCCGTTGTGTGACGATGTGCACGTGGAAGACCAGATCCTTGTGTTGCATTGCTGCAATAGCCTGCAGATTTGTAGTGGCTCAGCAAGGCTCCTCAGCAATCCTTCAGTGCCAGCACAGCCAAGTTCCTTGCTGAGATGAGGTGCATGATACCGAAAACTTTCATGTATGGTACTCCCAGTCCTCTCAGAGTCCGGTGAGGTCATTTTACGTTCTATTCCAAGATGCATGAGAACTAACGTGGGAGCCAACAGAGTCAAGGGCCGCATCTGCCGGTGATTACGGAATTTGAAGCTCAAATTTGCTTTGATCAGCTCCACCTGTCGAACTCTCCATTCACACCTGGTTATTGGACGCGACCTTCCGGGCTGGGCTGTGAAACTGCACAGTACTGTACACCGTATAATCCGGTGACGGTGAATTACGCAAAGGAGTTTATTAGTGCGTCCTACGCATTTGGTCTGCTATTTTGGGCCATGGAACGATTAGCAAGCAGAGCTTAATCGACGCGGTGGTGACAACTAGATATAGATGATGCGCAGACCTACGGCTCCCTAGAAATAGAAACAGCTCTTTGCGGTGTGGCTATAGGATCAAGTGGATGAGCGGGCGAGTGATTCCCGCGGTACTGCTCTACACGATGTATATAAGTCTTGTCTGAATGCTATCCTACCGGAGCTTTTGCGTAAACCAAGGCGTGATCGGTAGGCTCATTTTGCGTGTTTACCAGACAAAACAGACATCGGATCCAAACCTACCAACGCCGAATTAGAACTTGTAATCAGTACGTCACGAAGTCACAATTCTTAAACACAGACGGTAGCCCTGGAGTCTTTTCGTTCTCAATCTTACAAAATATCCATAACCAGATTGACTCTCTCTGTTTACTCTGTATCCAAAATCAAAACCCAGTCTCCTGCCTCACGTCAAACATCATCTTTCGCCTTGAAGCCCCGAAGATGTCGCGAGGTCGAAAGATGCTCCGCAGCCTGCTTCATATTTTTTGGAAGAAAGTGCCAAAATACTCCGCCATACTTTGTTTGGATGAGCTCATCTTACAGAAGATCTACCAACACCTCTCACTAGTCGATCAAGTTTGTCTATCCCTCAGCTGCAAAGAGCTCTTCGGCCTATTCGGGACGATAGTGAAGCACAAAGATCTTGAATTTCCACGACTCTTGCGTATTAGGAATCCAATACTGTGCGTGAACAGTCAGGATGTGCTGCGAAATCAACTCCTTCTTCGACTCGAAAATCGCCGCTGGGCCTACTGTGCGCAGTGTTTGAAACTCCATCCACGGAAAGAATTTACGAGACATTTACTGAGACAATCAGCTCTGGAGAGATCCTGCACATACTACGCTGGTATAGCTGACCTATGTCCCTGTATTTCTCTGACGATTCGAGGTCGGGACCAGCTTGTCAAGATCCTCAAATCACCTGCGAAGCCAGGCACCGAATATGGCCCATTCGAGTATGACTTTGACGATGGAGGACCGCCCGGCCTCGGCCACACCTGTTTATTTAGCACTAGGTCTGGCTACGATGTCCGAGTTGCTCTGGTTTTATCTATTATTAAGGAAACTGGCCAGTTATGTGTAGCGGCTCGGCATACTATAAGCTTCTCGTCCTCTGACGCTCATCTCACAGCTGAGCCTACTTTTGCTTGTCCTCATCAGGATCTCCTATCTCTCGTCCCCAGGAATTCAGCCGCAGAATATTATCACATGTACAAGACATTGTTTTCTTCAAAACCTCATCAGGATATCCTGTCTCTTCTCCCCGGGAAGCTGGAGCTGGTCTCAAAAGCCTGTCCTATGTGTCCGACTCTGATTTCAAAATACGCTTTGTCTAAAGACATGAATCAGGCTGTTTTCTGGGTGGTTCGAAATCTGGGAAGCTGTGAATGGCCTGCAGACCGTTCATGGTTTGACCAGTGTCGTCTCACCGGAGCAAGGTTTTCGCATAACGAAATATACTGGTGAGCTTATCAAAGGATCCGCGGAGAAAGAAGAACTATTACTGAAATTCCCCTATAGGTATCGGTCGCAGAACTTGCGGAAGATGAAGCAAGGTGTTCACGGTCAGTGGGAAAGAGATTACTACATTACTACCTGGAACAGAAGAGAAGGTTGCTTCAATATCAACGCGAAGCCTCACAGATGAGGTAGTCCAGGTAGCTGCTACCATCCCGGTGGTGCTTCTTGCAGGGTCGTCTTGAAAAAGGAAGAAGAAACATGATGTGCACTCCCCGGACAGTTCATTTCTATTTTAAGGAGGAAAACTGACTGAATGATTGTTTGATAAATCAATGAGACTTCATTTCATCCCAGTACAGGACATGTCCAAGCTCCAGCATTAGGGAACCAGCATAGAGAGTGGCGACAATATGTACATGAATTGATGCTGTCACCCTGATAATTGAAGCCCTCATGCCTAGTAGTTCGCCCACCTCCCCATGTTTCCCAATAGGATCGAGTCGTATGGATTCGGCAGGCCCTCGTAGAGCCGCAGCACCTTCTTGCCCGGTGCTTTGAATATTCGTCTGGTCGGTTTCGCCATCTTATGTTCCTCTGCCTACTGTTTGGCGTATTTTCCCTTGAAACGCGGCTGCACTGCACTCTTGGCTGGAAGCCACCCGGACAGCGCCAGTGGTGGAATCTCCGGGACTCCGGTTTTTCCGCTCCGTTGCCCCCCC